GCTGAATGGCCTGCTGTTGTAATACTTTTGATGTTTCATCGTAGAGCATCACGTTTTCACATTGTTTCGTTAGTTATATGACACTAGATAGGGGCTTACAGCCAGTTATAGAAAAAAAAGAATATTATATAAAATACACCCGAATTAATAGTCAGGGTTGAGGGACGCGTGGCCGCACTAGTGTCGCACTCCCGCTGTCTATCTCGCTCTAGCTGATGCCGGGTCTGAGTGACGTAAAGGCGCTACCTGCTGCCAGATGCAGCTCAAAACTTGTTATATATAAACACTTAAATATTATTTTTCTCTGCGACAGACTGACAGTACGAATCCGTGCTCTTTCTGTTCCTTGTATATCACGAATGTTATATATTTGTACTTAGTTTACGTCTTTGTGAGAAGTATTCCACTCGAGGTGTTCTCGACATTTCCAAATATAATTTGAATTTGCTTGCGTTATTAAAAACGTGTAGACATGAGTTCCGGATCGATTCAATGAATTATTTAAATAAAAGTGTATATTTTTCGGGGTTAGTTTATTTATTTTGATAGTTGAGAGTTTCGGAAAAAAGACTACGTTTACAATGTTACTGAATCTGTTTCTAACAAACTGTAATGTAATATTTAGAGAATACATTTGTGTGATAGAACAAATTGTTTGAGGTGCGCCCCGTCGCCCGTATATTATTATTTTTAATTAATATTATCGAGACTGATGTGATGTAATAATATAATATTAATAATATTGTAATGTGCGATATTACTCATTGATCTATTTTATATGCAAGTTATGAATATCGGTGATGCCCTGAATACTTTGTATCGCATAAACAGTTTTCTTATTGTTCAGTATTCATTGTTAATTTGCAAAGTCAAAATGTTGTAAATATACTAAATTATCAAGTCATTCGGGGCACATGTAATATATTTTAATGTAACTATTTTAGAATGATAGTTAATGCATAATTGGATATTAAGTTCATTAATATAAATATATTATTGTAATGATAATTTAATTTTTATTTAATCGAGCAAGAACGGTGTAAGAGCTTTCTAGTGTACGCGTATGGGCTCAACGTTATAATTTTATACGATAAATTGAAACTAGATGTCGCAAAGCTTCGTGGAAATTTAGTGAGATGATGTATTTAGAATTAGTTTTATAATATATACTTACTTATATATATAAAAATCATTGATATTACAGATGCTATCGTCCACGAAACTGCACATTACTGGTTATATCTTACAGTATTTACAGGTGTTCCTCCAATGCGATATGTCGGCCGCTACTCGCAGCTCTTGTATTATTTTAAAACAGCAGCTATTTTCTTCTTAAAACTATCTTATGAACTTATTTCTAATAAGCTATCGTTTTCTTTCAAAGCTTGATAACAAAAAGATAATACTAAATTTTTTTGCGCAATGATTTAAGGTTATTTCAAGTATTACGAAAGCGAAATTTTAGCATTTCTAAGCCAACCCCTTGTCCACGAAAGTAAGGCACACCCTTTACTACCCATCATAAACATTAATATATATATAAATATTTAAATCCATGACACCTCTATCCCGAGATGGGTGTAATAAAAAATAATCAAAGACCCCACTCGATACTTACGTAATACTTGAAAAACTCTTAGTCAAATCGTAACAAAAAATAATCTGTTTCATTTTTGTCGTCGACCTTATAACAAGTATTACACTTCGTGGTAGCAGTCTACTTACGCGGAAGGATCGTATTCGATGGCTTATGCGCGTCCAACGTACATATGAAGTTGTGTATGAATATATATTATAGCTTATTTGCGTTATTTTTAAATTTACTGACATTGTGTAGGTGTTATTGTTATGAATAACGAACACGTGTTCCGTGCCATCACGCCCTATTCCAAACTACCAAAGTCAATGTTATTGAAATTCTATAGTCGCATCAGTTATTGTTTGATTATTTTTTTTTTATGAAATACAAAAGAGCTTTAATAGTGCGCGATCATCTTTCGATTTGACGCTTATAGAAATCTAAGAAATGTTATCTTTAACCTGTTAATTGCCCTCTCATGCACCGCTTATGAATTGTGTAAAAGAATCTTTAAATCATATGCCATATTTTCTTACATACAAAACAAAGTTTGAAAATGTTATCATGTTATGTATTTTGAATATCCCTGTGCAATAAATAAATCTTTTGTATATGTTGTTGTTTTCTTTTTGAGACAGACTACAAAATTTTCATTGTGCTGCTTTAAAATTGCTTTGTTCACTGTAGTAGGACCTAACCTGCAAAGTTCCCACAACGATGGTACATATGGACCGTTAAACCTTAATGCTTTTTATGATATCTCTGGGGTACAGTATCAATAACATAGTACATGTATAGCATGGATAAATTCGATGTGATCCGTTTTAGCTCTTAAGTAAAAGCGAATTATTTAGTAATCAAACTCTGCGATGTGAAACGCCTGGCAGTACCAACCTCAGATATAGCGTACACATTTTAGTTCACCTGTCGTTTTCGGTGGCGCGAGCATTTTATCATCAATTCGTCAATCTGGGATCAACCTAAATATTTCAAGAGGTAAACTGCCAAAGGTTGTTGCATTGTTAATTAATAAACGGACTCCGTTAATTGATCGACAAGTAAATAGTGTAACACCTATGAAATCATGTGACTTAACAGTTTGTGTATTTGTTATCAGGCACTGTCAAAGTCCATGAGTCGGTACACAAACATATCCAATCTTTATAGTTTGCGTCTATCTCGTAACAGACCAAGTTTCAAAATCCAAAATAAAATTAAACGGGCTGGCGGCAATATTCAACAGCTGTAAATATCTGTCTGGTGAAACTGCGCAGACACGAGTAACAATTATTATTTTGCTATTATTTTGTTACGTTGTACCTGCCTACATTGGCGGACTAACCTTATCGGAGGCCCGGGGCGACAATAGGCCCGGATCAACAACGGAGCCCCGGGGCGGACCCCCCTAGTCCGCCACTGCCTACCTAATAGAAAAATCATAATCATCAATATCAAATACACCATAAACTACACTTTGACTTTTACTTGATCGATCATCAAATTATAGAAACTCCAATGAACTTACCAATTCTGCCCTGCTATTCTATAAAAATCCAAACCCCAAATTCGGATTCATTCAAGTGGCCGAATACACGTGTAGAATTTTTTTGATTCAATTTTTTGCATAAAAATAAAAAACAAAATAGATTGAATATACGATTTCGAAACTCACTACACTTATGTCACGAAATATTTAACCAATTCGAGGTTGAGCGGATGTCGCTTTTTAAAGTGAATTCGGAGTCCTGAGTAAATTTGAATTCGCTGTTCTTACACTCAATTACGCTCTGCTCTATGCTATTGTTAAAGCGGGAGAAGGGAAGTGGTGTACATTCAAATCCACAAAATAATCCATTTTAATAACTTATAGACATGTTTTATTCATTCTTCAGTCAAGAGCTCGTATAACTTTACAAGTTGAAATCCGTACCTACTGTTGTTATTTCAGATGCCTTAGATGTTAAAGCTTGTATATAAAGTAAAAAGCATATGCTCTCGACTTTAGCGAAAATTCATAATTAGCTCATTCTTCACAGATTCTCCATAATCTGTAAATAATGAGCTGGCGACGCCCCCGGTCGGAGCGTTAAAATACTTTGTGGTTACTGGGAATTTTTGTGTTCATTCCACTACCTGGTAAGTATATATACAGATATACTAGAAAATATTCCTAATAAAAAACTATTATACTAATTACTATGCTTTATCAATTTTGCATTCACAATGCTATACTGAAAAAGGTTGTGGGTTCGAGTCCCATCGCAGAGTATCTGGCTGGTGATTTTTTTTATAGTTTTTCATTATGACTATTATACAGTAGTTAAAATTATTATGCAACTGTCAAAATGGAATTTGCGCTTTGGTTTTCGGTATTTGTTTTTGCTATGATTTTACCGTCAGGAAAGTTTGCTTTCTGCTGATAGATTTCGGCAGGCGTTACCTATTTTCATAACCATTCGGGTTCTAGATTTGATCACGTTAAAACAGTATTTAGTCACAGTGATACATACTAGAACATTCGATTGGAAAAGGTTTAATATTTTTTTCAAGTTAATGTTTAGTATTTTTTCAAGAAAGTATTGTCGATTTAATCTAAATTTCACACCTAGCTCTGTACTGGCTGTTATTGGTTTTATTTAGTTGCGCTTAAGTTGGCAATATACAGTTGTCCTTTTCTTTTAGCAGCTGCTGATAAGCGGTAATAAACATGTTATGCCCCCAACACTTGTCCCCTCCGTGTGTAAAGTTTATTTAAGTAGGTATCCATGGTTAGAGCAGTCACCCGAAAGGTCATGAGTTCGAGTCCCATCTGTAATTATATCGGTATTTATTTAAGTTTTCATTGATAAATAGGCTAATAGTAAAAATAAATTAACTCCGCAAATACAGACCCCGAGGGACTGAAAATATCAAGTCCCACAAATACCGTTAGGTTAGATTTAAAGGCATTTATTCCCTTATTAACATAATAATGTTCATTACATATTATAACATTGCCTTCTTTAACGATCCCCATGTTGGACTCTTTAATTTTAGAGGCATCATAATTTAATTATTGCTTTATTTTGAGCTAAACTATTTATTACTTGCCACATTTTTTTTGTAAGTTGAATACAGGTTGCGGGATTGGATTGGAAGCCTTAGACGTAACAATCAACAAGTTAATTTTACCATTGTACTGTCTACTTACTACTACTAGAATTGGCCTGCAGTACAGTTAACAAATAAATACTTGTCATGTTGCATTGCAATTTTTATAATGTTTTTATTGTTTTCGATTGTTACTATCAAGTTTTGTTTTTATTGGTTATGGTCGACTAAAATAGAAACTGCTATTATGATTTCCATCCTATTATAAGTTATTCCCACGACGGTAAATAATGACAAAAGGTTATTCATGCTCATAATAAAACAAAAATATGGACTTTTGAATTTTATTATTAGATTTACACTGTCATTTACAATAAATTTCCATGTAGTTGGTAGGACATAAATCAATATTGCATAACACTAAGGCTAATTGCATCAGTATTTTTGTGGATAAATTAACAAAATATATGCAATATTACAAATTCAAATAAAAATAACGCTAATATCTTACTCGGGCACGCACTTGCTCCACTGCTATGCCACACTACAATTTGGAGGTCGATCGAACATTGGCCAGAGAGTAACAGGTATCGTCAAGATGGAATGTCTGCGAGTAGGCATATCCCTCGAGCTGCGCACTGCATGCGTCGTCCAATAAATATATAACCGAGTGCATAATCTTAACCTAGCACAACTTCAGAACTACCGTTCGTCCTGTACGAATCGTAAGAGATGTAGCGCTACAGCAATTTTTCATAGAGAACATGCGAAATTAAAAAAGAATAAATTAAAATATACAAAATCTCTATCACAATACTCGTAAGTAATTAAAGCAGTTCAGGGTGAATACTCCAAATGTCGTAATACGAAGGAAGCGAACCGGGCGGCCGCCCCGGGCGCGAGTACTACACAGTAGCCACTCGGCGACAAGTGCGCGGGTGACGACGGCCGACCAGGCCGAGGGGGCGCCACTATCACTTATCTAAATATTGCGAGTAACTACGTCATACCGCCCGCGTCTCGACGCAACGTCGCCGATTAAAATATAATTATAATAATAATATATATCGACGGAGCCGGGCGCACTCCGCGGGGAGAGCACATCGAACGCGGTATAAAACACTTAGAAAATTTACAAGTCCCCCCCGGCGGCGGTGCCGGGGGGTGGTGGTGGTAGAGGTGGTGGTGGTGGTGGATGGGCGGGGGCGGGGGCGGGGAGTGGTGTGGGGGCGGGGGCGGGGGCGGGGGCAGCGCGCGGTGGGCGGTTACGACACGTCCTGGTCGTCGTGCTCGGGCGCGGGCTCCTTGTCCTGGTCGGGCGCCTGGTCCTGGTCGCCCTGCATGTCGGAGGTCCACAGCGTGAGGTTGTCGCGCAGCAGCTGCATGATCAGCGTCGAGTCCTTGTAGCTCTCCTCGGACAGCGTGTCCAGCTCCGCGATCGCGTCGTCGAACGCCGCCTTCGCCAGTCGGCACGCGCGGTCCGGACTGTTCAGGATCTCGTAGTAGAACACCTGCACGAATCAACAATCATTTATTCAGTCTAGGCTGTTGCAAAGTCGAAAACTATGTGCCGACGGGTACGCAAAACTACGGCAAGAGACCTAGTAATGAGAAAAGCAGCAAGAAACTCAGCAGGGGTTGCTCTTTTCTCCCTGTCTTATTTCACACCGAGAAGTCTTATTGAAAAATAACTTCATTTGACTATGAAGTCTTTTTTCATTATAATATCAAAAATAACAAGACAGATGTTTTTAGGTTACAGATAAATAAATATACCGGTCGCAGAGTCATACATACTCGATAACCTCCGAAAAACTTGTCACATTCCATCCCCTATACAGAATACTTATCAGTTGACCATCATGGCTGATCCTATTATCTAATTTCGAGTTATCTCATTGGGATCTTACTTTATTCAGCTACATTCGCATTTTTCTCAATCCATGGACAGAGCAGAATAAATGTAATTAGACCTGTTCTTATAGTAGTAACTATTAACATTCATCATACTCATAATATAAAATTGTCAAAAATATAATACTCAATACTCAAATGTTAATAAAACCTTTTCCAATTGTGTTTACTTACAAATATAATTCATTTTATGTTATTTCAGACACTGTATTGGGCTATCATAGAGAAATAAATACTCTATCACTTGCTATATAATAAATAAATGAATACCTCCGCTGTCTTATCCCAAACCGAATTCTTTTTAACACAAAAAAGTATTGCAAGCAACTCAACGTAAACATTCAATTATTTGTTTTCCTCCATTCGGCAACAGTGTTTTATTACATACGATTAATTCATTTATTTATTTAAGACATCAAAAGCAGAATAACAATAATTTAGAGTAAATTACAAGGTTGAATGGTTAATTATAGATATCCATGAAATTAACTCACTTTAAAAAAAAATAGAGCAGTTTTTTATACAACTCAATGAGTATGTAAAAAAACTTATTATGTTTGTGGCAAGGTTCGATAGTAATATTTTAATATATGTAATAATAATACATAAAATACCTAACAATTATAAGATATATGGAAATATATCATTTCATTAAAAATATATTTTATGTCATATTGATAACCTTATAGATTGTAATTGTAATATACTTGGAATTTATGACCGCTTAAAAAATGATTTAAAACCGTGAAATACCAGGGGATTTCAGTAACACGTCACGATGACGCCACCGCGCCGTCAGACGCTGACTCATCTCAGACGATAGCCGTCTTACACTAGCTCGCCACATGCGTCAACATTCTTACACAACGACACGTTATAACGACAATATGAGCCGCGTAGTATTTAAAACTGCAAATATTAAACTTTGTTACGTTTCAAGTTAAATATCTAACACACTAAACACAATCATAGGGGTTACAAACAATAAAGATATCTCATCTACCCATATTGAAGAGAATAGCTAACATATTCCCATGGATGAAAACCAAATAAACAGTTCCCATTTTATTGGTACGAGGATCATATAATTTCATCCAAGGTCTAGTAATATCCATAAAAAGATTTATTATGAAAAAACCAATAAGCGGAATTCGAAGCATAATTAAAAGATAATGTTGAAATAGATGAAATTAAATAGCTAATGTTATATGTAAATATTATAATGCTGGAATGTTTGTTTGGTTCAATGTGTTAATCTAAAGAACTACTAGTTTGAATTGAAAAAATATTTTTGTGTTGAATACTAACATCACGCTAAGACTAACAGGAGTAGAGTAACAATGAAAAATGTTGCAAAAACGGTAAATCCACATGGGCGAAGGCGCTAGCGGAACCAAGACACATAGCCACCTGTGTAGTCATCTTTGTTACACTATACATTAAACATTTAATAACCAGTAAATAAAAATGAGTAGTTTTGAACATAACTGCAATAAAATGATTTTGGACGTGCTCAATGGCATATTTTCATCACGTTCGAGAATGTTTCGTTACACAGTATGAGGTCGGCCGGACGTTAATGTGTATTATGTAAATAGTATGTATATTAGTTTTATATGAGTAGAACAGGTTATGTCGATTGGAATTTAATGTCTCATTTTTGATTTGCCGAATTGTCGCAATATTCGATTCAAAATTTAGTTTGTGACTAATGTTTGAAACAGAAATTTACGTGGTATATCTTCGTTTACGTAGAGCATACCTACTACGACAATGACCAAACATACCATTAAAATATATAGTGAATCTTGTTTTAAATAAGCATAAGGTTTATTATTTTTGTCTCGTGCACACTCAGCGGGAGTCTACGAAATTTAACTTTCTGTGCAGTTACATCGGTGAGCCACATCACTTGCTACTGTATTGAGATATATACATATCGCGGCACGTTGTGTCGTCTCAGTGCGTTTACAATTATTAGGGCGCATCTCTCGCTAGGTGCAGGGGGGCTCTATCCAACAACTTATTGATACTAAATTCCAGTCAACAATAATAACTATGAATCTGCTCCAACAAAATTGTTTGAATATAGAGTGGCTGGGTTTGACAGTCAGCGCCGGCTTTTATTGTATTCAGTCTATGGATTATCTGCCTTAAATGGTCTCTCAGCAGATCAAACAGTATTGGTCTGAACTGTCCTGATTGCTCTTATGATATTCCACAGTGCGTTTTGTCAGATCAATCAAGACGCTTTAGGTAGCACCGCAGGGCATCACATGTGCACAAACATCAGACTAATGTGACGCGCGATAATAGAATATAATATTATACTCCTATTATACAGTATAAGTAGTGTGATGTATACTGACGGAGAAGTTGAGCGCGAGTCCGAGGCGGATGGGATGGGTGGGCGGCAGCTCGGTCATGGCGATGTCGGAGGCGGCCTTGTACGCGACCAGCGAGTTCTCCGCCGCCTCCTTGCGATCGTTGCCCGTCGCGAACTCCGCCAGGTACCGGTGGTAATCTCCCTGCACACAAAAACATCATATCGTAAAGCTTATAAGTCTCCATCAATTACCCACAAAACCCAAAGTAGCAGTAGATCGAAGAGTGATTTTGTTAAATATTTCATGAATTTAAATTTTCCATAAATATTATTGCGTTATAGCATATTTTAAACTTTCTTGGAGGGCGTTAAACGAAATAACTTCGCGATTCGAGAGTCCCATATAAAAGGTATTTTTGTAACATCTCATGTTTCAAATCTGAACTTGAATATAATAAAATGATCAATATTCTATCCAGAAACATTAATAAATAATGGCAGAAATATCTTAATATCCACCAATTGTATCACTTGCTTATGTTTCCTACGTATCCAATTATGAAGGCATATATAAAATTAAAATAGGTAACGAAGCGTTGTTTAAAAACCTACGACAACTTGTGCTGTTTGCATACCCAATGATTCGAGTTAATTAAAATATAACTGAATAAATTATCAAGCGTGAAACTGTTACTTGTTTTTAATGTGACGTCAATTGCAAAGAAATAGCAATAAACAGGTTTGCAAAATATTTACACCATACATATAAAACAATGATATAGTTTTTTCATATTTATTCAACTGAAAACAAAAAATTCAAAGACCATATCTCTTTTATGTCGGCATAATTTAATAAATAATTTCTAGACGTATTTTTCATAACTGAAACAAGCAAAACATGAATAATCTGGTGTATACAATTTGTTATATACCTTCATTTTGTAGTAGAAGACTTTAGACTCGCCGGTCTGTGAACTGGGGATGAGGTGTTTGTCGAGAACACTGAGGATGTCTGAACATATGTCGCGGAGCTCCTTCTCCACCTGGCTGCGGTATGCTCTGATCATGTTCAACTTGTCTTCTGCGCCCTGCAACGAACACATTATTTTTGTACCATATTATTTAAATAAATAAAATAAATGTCAATTAAAATCTATAATAAATTACCTGAATACCTAAAGAACGAAAAAAACATATATTATTCAATTTATAAAAATGCTAAAGAATATCCCATTAAATAATTGCTGCTAAAAGTTTTAGATAAAATGTCTGACATCTTCTTTCCATCTTGCTATATTTCCAAGCCTATCAAGTTGCATGTGAATATTATTAGCTGAAATTTATGTATTTAGTTTCTAAGTCACATGTATGCAATGCAATGAAATAAATAAATATAATTACAGCTATTCTTAGTTATGGATAATGAACAGAGTTTGGAACTATCACCCAGAGTCAAAATTCTCTTAATTAAAATAGTCTAGATATTTTAGCTATTTTTTAACATTAATTCGTCGAAGAATGAATGTCGTAGACACCTCGGTAAATATTACTACAATGGAAATTGCGTACGAGCCACTCAGCCACGAAGGCCGTCTAGCTACGTCATAAATTGAAATTGATCTATATCTCCTTACGATAAGCACTAAGCAATTTTGTTAATTTCTTTGTGTAAAAACTTTCTTTAAATATTGAGAGGTTGGATTATTGTGAAATATTGATAAGGTACTTCCTGTTGATCTAGAACTATGTTTGGCAAGTAACATCGTTTTTATAAGGCAACATCAAGGAAAAATAAGAAACTATACACTTGTAAATTAATCGTAATAAATAGTCTCATAGAGGGGCCGCAATTAAAAAAAAATGAATCTACGCGTACAGGTGATATAAGGAAAGTATTAGTATTTTCTAGTTTCTCGTTGAGACATCGGACAACGAAAAAACGCGAGCCGAATTATTATTATTGGTCTCCCCAGTTTCATATTTCACTATCGAACTTAGTAAATGAATTATTCATAAGAAAGTTATCAGCGTATTCCTTGCAAATATTGAGTTTAATATTACACCTATCTCATATTGCATATAAATTGCTTGCCTGTATAAGGACACATACGTATTTCAACAGCAAGTATTCATAAAGGGAGAATAATAAGGTTTTATCCAAAGGAATCGTAATCCCAAACTGAAAGTAAGATTGACAATGGAATTTCTATTAAAAAAAAAAAAAAAAACATAATGCGCAGAAATAATATAATGATTGGACATTGTAACCCGTCGTAAATGGTATTATGAATATGCTATTTTTACTTGTGATTATAGTATTCGAGAAAACGCCATATAATGTGTTCATAATGTTATTATACTTTCTAATCAAAGATTATAAACATATTAAGTTTCTGGAAAGCAAACACGTAATAACCCCCCGCAAAGCCAAAATTTATCTTCAAAGCAGAATAACTTTTATTTCGTCGTAAAAATATCACGATAATACTCGATTAATACGGAAATAAGATTTATTTATTGAACAATAAAAAAATTTTTGGTTCTGAAGAACAATTTTGGGTTTACTACGTGTTTGCTTTCCAGCGTCGATGTGTACTTGCTACATTACATCATGTAAAATCCGTTTAACATTAAAATTTATATACAGCCACGTCCCATAAAAACAGGTCTTTCTGTTTTATACGAAGTTAAATAGACAGTTATTTTTTGAACTATTGAATCCTAATCATAAGTTAGTTAGTGGTGCGATGTTTGAAAAAATTTGGAAGCTGCGTAATAGCTTTTCGTTCACAATGCCACAATGCCTGAAGACCCGGGTATTCAATCCATGCGTCGTGTCAGTCATGCCCTATGGGGCTGAAACATGACAGTGAAACTGACCCACCGTCTATATGTCGCTCAGCGGGCTATGGAAAGGTCTCGCATTCTCCGTAAAGGATAAAATATGGAATGAGGTCATCCGGCAGAAGATTAAATAAATGATGAATGTCATCCAGAATTGTAATAAGCTGAAGTGGCAGTGGGCTGACCCCATCTGTCGCAGAACCGACGAGAGGTGGAGTAGACGGATTCTCGAATGGAGACCGCGCCTCAGCAAACGTAGTGTCAGACGCACCCGGCAACATGAACTGACGACCTAAGACTCAGGGAGAGGCCTACGTCCAGAAGTGGACTGCAACAGGCTGATCCACATACTGTTCGTTTCTTTAAGTAAAACTAACTCTGTCATTGTCAAAAATACATAAAATCTAAAAATTATAGATAAAACTGCAAGATTATGTTATATAAAATGTTAATTATGGCCACTTGCTATAGTAAAATATACCTAGTTATAATATGATTTAGGAACATGTACACGACATCAAAGTGTTGCTAAACTATTACGCCCAGATACCTACATAGTAAACCGAAGGAGGAATGAAGTAATATTACGTTTATATTGTACTCCTAAAATGGCGCATCTATGCACCGTTAGTCAACCGTCCTGATGATTCACGGCTCACGGCTCACGGCATCCTATCATCCCATATGCTCGCATACAAAACTTTATTCCATTTATAAATAGTACTTGAACCGGCCCTCTTATCCCTTATTACGTCTAAAAATAAACTATTAAGTTAATCGTGTCCGCAGACACTGATCGCACGCCGGGCAGAATTAGTGTAAGTCTTATACGACGCGAGATGCCACGCGCGCTTATCTCAGCAAACATTCCTATGACACGCTCAAAGATATAACATTTTTTGCTCATATCTTAGTTTCGTCCTATGTCCACACAAACATCCGATGATATGGTAATGTAGGAACGTGTTAGAACATTATGACTATTATAAACATATTAGAGATAAACCGATTATATTGATACACTGACTTTTTATAAATGACAATGCAGACAACCAGACTTATTAAATATGTGGAATATAAGTTGGTTTTATCTATTTTATAATAATAAGAATTTAAACACATGGTTTTACATGAAAAATAGCTATAGTTTTGTTTTATTTCAAAAATGAATAAAATAAGAAAGATCCGATTAGAACTTGATTGAGTTTTGAACCACGTCAAAATTAAACCCATGTCAAATAGAATAAAATCCAAAGACATTGATTGCATAATTAGGTATGATCCGCGCTGTGGTGGATGGCGGTGGCAGAGTATTGTGTGGGATACATAAAAAGTGAAGACTATTTTCATGATCAGTTTAACATATTATGCATCTGCACGAAGTGAGCACTGTAAGATATAGAAAAAGGAAACCAATTTTTCTAATCAAAATTTATTATTATTATAAGACCACACCCTTTACATCATGAAAACTGCGTCACACAAATCGAAAGGTGTGAATTCGTAAAACCTTCCAAAATGTATGCCAGAGCCGATGAGTCACCCTGTCACAATAGTCAATGCACGCCCGGTAAACAACTAGTGTGATTTAGCGATCGATATTATGCAAACAAAATGACCTAGAAGCGGTTTTGACCGCGGCCATCACTCCGCGACCTCTATGCCAATAGCGGCGGAACAATTAGCACCAGACCAAAGGCAATGAAAGTTAAATGAGCATACCGATATCTTAATTACACCCATTACATTTTAACTAACTAATGTGTTATATTTTGAACTAGTTATATTTGGAGAAAGAGGACGCCTGTGGTGTCATAAAAATTTCTAAAGCATCTATGACAAGTTCAACGTTTACAAACTATCCGCAAGGTCGTTTAAACGAGAAACATATTGCAGGTTTAAACTATGAAATTTTAGCACCTAGGAATCTAGTGCACCATTTCTAATCATGCACGCGAGGCTCTACTCTCGATGGCTTTTGTGAAGGCAAAAAGTCGACGTTGATACAGGTGCTTGCTCAATAGCGTCGACGAAACGTTTACTCCCATTTCTGTAACACGGTGAATTAGGTCCATCGTCTTTTTGTATGTCGCAGTAAACGTAAAAACAGTTTTGATAGTTTAACTGTCTGCAGATTACACGCCAGTTTTTTAATAAGGAAATCACAGTTGCACCAATGACACGGATTGAACAAAAAAAAATTAAAAAAACGAGATGCATATCTGTGACATCGAAGTCTTTCACAGAGAAAAAACTAAGTAGAAAACTGTTGAGCTCCAAAAATGCATTACTGCGGTTTCTCTCTTTCATGACTATATGCCGAATAACTTCTATGATAGTTGTAAATATGAAAGATAGTAATTTTGTATTCTTTAAATTATTTCTTTTAAGTTATTTTTAAATTAATTATAATCTTTTTACTGAATCATTTCTTTCAGACAATGATACTTTATATTCACCGCCATAACATTTTGTATGTTAAAAATATTACAACATACCAATTTTGTGTCTATATATGTATAAGGTAATCACCAGAACTATAACCGTCCACTATGGTGTAGGTTACCTTTTATCTGGTTACTAAGAGGTCGAAGCCACAGACAGAAGCTTGTGTGTTATGTATATATTTATGTGGTTCTGTGCAAATAGATTTTTCCTTTACCATTTAGGGATAACTTGTTTGTTTTATCTTTTAAACAGACCCCCAGGAGGTTAACTTTTGTTTGTGATAATGCAAACATGGAGAATCTTAAATAAATGACCTTTTTTAATGTTGGTTAAAAACAGAAATATCTCACTTTTTGACTCATCAAATGATTTATCACATGTATACTCAGAATTATACTTTTAAACATCAAAAAATTAAAATTTGTTATTTGCCATATTTTTTATTAGGTTTCAACAATGCACCATAACTATGTCTAATAAGGAAAATTTGAGAACTTAGAGAAATAATCTACAAATTGATTCCACTGCACACATCTACTTTAAATAAATAATCAATAAGGAATGTAGAAATCAATTAACAATATAATTTTACCTTATCTAAATTACAAAATACTTGATTGCCACATTAACCAATATGTAGATCATGTAATGTCATACAAAATTTATACTTAAAGGGTACAGGAATAAAGTTCAACTAAAATGTGCAAAACAAAATTGACCCAACATTTGATTTTCCTAATCAATTTACTTCAGTAATACTATATTGAATATTTATTGTTTGTTTCACTTAGAATAAACACATCAATGTAGCAGTCAAACAAATCCATACATGCCTAAATTAGTACAAAGAGAAATTAATAATGCATTTACATACTTTTGTTTCTTCTTTCTGTTCAATTGAAGATATGATCCTCCATGAGGCTCGGCGGGCACCTATGACGTTCTTGTAAGCGACGGACAGGAGATTCCTCTCCTCCACTGTTAGTTCATTGTCAGAAACATTGCGTGATGCAACATTCTTCATTGCCTCCACCATTTCTGTAATATCATGACACAAGTATTGTAACATTTGTAGAAAATTCACTTCAACAAGCGAATATTTAATTCTTTCGGTCTCCAGTCAGAGTGGCTCACAACTGGCTTGCTGGTTTGAAAGGGTTCAATCCCTGATGAGAACATGAAGTATTTACTAATGACACATTCACAAATATTGTGAAGTAGTTTAACTGTAGTAGTTTAACTATAATTAGTTAAACTACTGCTTAAAATATATAAAATGTAAGAATCTTTCTTTTAAAGGAAACTCAATATTTCATTTTCAACTTGCACTAATTTAAGCAGTATATCTATTACCTGAAATATCAATGCATTTAGCTATTTCACATGTTCAATTGTGTTAATGCACACCATCCATGAGAAATTTTCCAAAATTAATATAAATGGAAATATGATAGTATTCTTCGTTTCACTAACCAACCAATTAGTGAATACAAAAATCAACAGGTGACTGTATATAAGATGTTATAAAGATTGAGATTATACTTGTGGATTAACTAAATATTAGGTATTTACATTATCACACATATAAAGTATGTAAATATTGAGTTCAATTGTTTTAATTTTTGGTAATACAGTTATTGAGTCAGAGGTTCATTCTATGGAAAATTATAGGTATTTTAAGATGTCATAATAAATAAGTTATTATACATTATGATAAAAATGAAATTACTCATGGTAATAAAATCAGCACTTTCTATGATAATTGCACTTAAGTATATTTTGATCACAAGCTCATAACATTATCTATACACTTATTGCCATTTTTAGTAATTGCATAATGAAGAAATAATGAATCAAAATATAGGTGTGCCTTATCAATAAGTTAAGACATCTTCCTTGCACTTGAAATAAGGTCAATGAACTACCACTCCATCAGAAACAACATTGAACATCTATTATTACAAAAATTCACATGTTCTGTGAAAGAAAGTAACCCACTTTGTGACAAATAATGATAACATGTACAATGAATGCTTTATCTCAATTTCAAAAGGTGAACGAGATAATACGATAGATTCACAGGTAGGTTCCCGTGCGGCTAGCTAGTGAACAATAGGTGAGAGGAACTCATGTGTCGACACGGGCACGATTTTTTTTTATGCCTCTCAATAAATCTTGATTATTTCGCAATAACTAATAAAATGAATTGTCTAAGTTACGACATACATGAACGACCTCAGTGACATCGATCGCAATTTTTATTCCTTTCCATGCAAAATAGGAAACAAAATTACTACATAGAAATCTTAGTATTTGTCAAACCAAGTGTCCACCTTTTAAAATTTGAACTTGACCGAAGTGAAATTAAATGGTAGGAGTTTCATTTGCAATTTGTAAGCATTTAGTGCGCCTAATCAGTCTAAAAAATGTAAAGGGCATCCCACCGGCGGATGACGCATCGATCGCTGACCAAGCCTAACGAATGCCATTGAATCGTAACTTAGCTAATATAAAGCAAAGAAATGAATGCATTAGTTCCCTTTTTTTGTTTACAAGGGTCGAGTGAAAGGTAAGCTAAACAACTTGATCGAGAATTTTCCTAGACTATCATCAAATCGTCTTTCAACTGTCGGCGAAAATAGGAAAGAATTTTCCTCATATTAGCAAAGTTAAGACAAAAATATGTACTCACCATCATAACGCTCAGCCTGCTCGGCTAGCTTTGCTTTGTACACATTATCTTCCCTTTCCGACATTGTGGATGACAAATGATTTTTCACTAACTAAAACCGAATCGCCAGGTCACTAATTCACCAAGATGGCCGCGCCCGCCAACCGAATCCGAATTCGATCTTCAACTAAACTCCGCCCATGACGTCATAATATTATAGAAATGGCAACTTCCTTCCGCTGTTAAATGCTTGCCATAGCTAACATTTTTAATGTTTGTGGTTTTGGACATGGTATCACAAAGGATGTATCTGGCAACCAATATAAAAAAATAAATGATACAAATATAAATCTTCAATGATAATAAATTGCTCCGAACTCGGTTGCTTTTATCTTTTTTTGTTTACATGGCTCGAAAATAAATCAAGAAAAACAAGAAAAGTAAAAAGCCACATTACAAAGACGCCAAGTGTGGCATGGGTATTTGCGAATGTGTGCAAAATTTGAATACACATTTGGAGTTTGCCGTCGGGTGTTGATTTTTGTGCTTACATTAAAGTAAAGTTTAAACAAACTTCAAAGTTTATGCGGCCTATCAGACTTGTTGCAAAGTTTAGCAAAGGATGAGCAGATTTTATTTTACGTTGTGTTTTATTAATTAATTATGGAATGGATAAATGATGTTGTTAATTAATATCTCGAACTTCTTCAAATAAAACCATCAATATGAGATCCGAAAAATCTTTTTAAACGATAATGCATATCTTCGAATAAAAAAAAGAAAAGTTTCTCCGTTCCTTTTCGTTGTCCATTCTGTTAGTCATTTTTGTAACAAATGTTGTGATCTGATGGCAAACTCCAAATGTTTAATGAAACACATTCACAAATGGACTTGCAGCATATGACGTCCTTGTATTATTTGTGTATTTGACCACATTGACAGGAGACAAATTCACCAGTGGATTCGTAGCCTTAATTCACGTTCGCGTTCTTGATCTAAAAAACACATGATACACTTTTATAGGATCTTTTACTCTTACTCAGGGTAGTGAAATAAGAGTTAATAAGGAGTTCCTAGGATGATCAGTGCGTCCCAATCTACACTCCCTTACGCCCTGACGATTGGATAGCGCGCATGGTAGAGAAAAAATCCATAGACTTATTTTTAAATATGCTCAATCGTCGCGGTGAGCGTAAAGACCATAATTTCATTAAAATATATATTAGTAAACATATATAATTACTTAATTTTATATGAATATAAGTTAGATAAGTCTTTAGGAACCGTAAGGTTGGAGGTTGGGGTCCCTATTGTGGTGATGGAGACAACTGGGCCAGGGAGACTAAAGGATAATTGTCTCCCTCCGAGCTAGGTGTTGTTAGCCCGGGGACCGCGGTCCAACCGATGTAGGTTGGACGTTCTATTTATCTTAATTGGTAATTAAACTTATTCTGTGTGATGTAGGTTTCTTTGTTCTAAATGTCTTGTAGTTATTAATTTATGCTGTTTGTATTGGTACAGCGCCATCTCGTTACTTGCTGTTGAAACTTATTGCAGTTCGTCTAGCTATCGATGGCCGTGACAATGCTAGTCTTCTCACTATCGATTGTTGTGGCGATGTTAGTGCGATGAGTTAGATGTCGCTATGTATCAGTCGCCACAAGTCGTTAATTTGAAAGATAATTTATAACAGAATTATTGTACTAACAACATATGGATATATTACAGAGATTTTAGGAAACGTTTAATATAAATCACTATATAAAAAAATAATCACGATAATCAATGGTAAAAACTGAGTTAGGATTAAAATTTCTAGGTTAGTTTAATAAGCGCCACACTAATTAGAGGATGTGTCAACCGATCGATTGAGCATTTGAAATTGGGTAATGTAAAAGGATTAAAGCCTTTTTCTAAATTATGACCACCAGCGACGAACGCACACACTCTATCATTAAAAACAGAGGCGGATTTAGGACTTGGACGCCCTAGGCCATGTAGTATAGCCGCCGTATTCGCTCTTATAATTTAAATATTTCAATATAAATTGATGTTCTCAACGAAATTATAAACACGCAAACTAACAACATTCGTTAACACATGAAAAAACTTCGAAATCTATATGATACTCTTTTATTTACATTATATTACTGTTTGAGCAAAGTATAAAAGTATGTCATGGATAAAAAACTGAAGACCATGTATTTCATCCCTTTTTAATAGTCAATATTTTATGCCACTGTTGTAGCTAGTGTGCGTCCCTACTCGCCTTAGGGTAAATTAGTGTGGATTCGATTTTTAAAACAATTACTTACTATCGATTATAAATTTATTAGTAGATTATTAGTAGACTCTTTGGTCGGGGAACCCCCGATACATGAATTAACGGATCTTACGGTTATATTTTAACAAATACAAATTAACCGTTTCCTACTAAATGCACATGTATGTATACACGGTACGTACCTATACGAAAATATATTTTTTTATATTTTTTTTATCTTTGTTTGTTCTGCCTAATCTCTGAAACGAACGAAACGGACGAAATCACGGATACAGCTAGTTTAATTCTAAAAAATTTGCATTCACTATGCTGGTATGGTCACACATTACACATTGTTTTAAAATGGATTTTTAATTATTGTTCATTAATTTGGATGCCTTTAAAATACGATGGAATTAATCTTTAATAATTATTGACATAAATCGATTATCTTTTGCTAATCGATAACGAGTAATACTATAATCGATCAATTGGTGTGTATAAAACACTAGCACCAGAGAATGCTACTGTACCCAATCAAGAGTACGAAATGGTTCAATAGGATATTTAACTAATTTTGAAAAATAGTTTTAAGTTATTTTTATGTAATAAGCACATTTCATTAATATTTCGACGAAATTTACTGTATTTTTATTTATTTTATCAATAAAATCAAAGTTAAGTTTAAATTTCTGAAACAATGTGAAAAACGCTGTGTACGGCGTCATACACTAGTAAATAAACAATAGATTATACAATATTTCGTTTAAAATACACTATTACAATGTCAATCGATGGCGGTTTGGTATGAGAATGGACAGGCTCGATCTACTTTCGATTTTCTGTTCAGTCAATCTCACATCACAAGTATTTACTGATATTAACACATCATCAAAATATTGTTACGGAATGCAGTGACACGATACGTCTAAATATTACTAGATGTCATATAGGTATACAGAAAGGGGTGGTCACTGAGGAAGAAAGGGGCGGGTAGCTGTTTTTTTTTTATACAGGTATGTGGTATGTGTGGTATTGATCATTCTTCAGTGACTAGCGAAATCAATACGAGAGCGATTGGAAGTAACGATGCGCCATTGTTGCAAAAAAAAAAACGATCGACTGAATCGAAAATTGTGCTACTGCGCATTCTATTGTCGATTTGGTAGTTCCCTGCCTTGATTATTCGAATAACAATCGTCTTAACTACTAACTGTACGCACACTATGTGATGATTCTGTGTTATGCGCGTGCGGTCGGTTTTAACTGCGCGGAGTATTATGGTGTTGCGTTGATTCTTTGCTTACTTTATTATTAAATAGTTGGTTTTTACATTATTATTTATAACACGAAAGAGAAGTAACATAATACAACAAAAAAAAAAGAAATACAGCTTGGTGACAGTCAGACAGACGGATGGACGGACGGACGGACGGACAGCGAAGTCTCAGTAATAGGGTCCCGTTTTTACTCTTTCTATACGGAACCCTAAAATATGTAGTATGTTAGCGATGGTACATTTCAAGGTTTGTTTGTATGATATTTCCACATAATTCGTCGCTCAATAGTGTAGATAAGTCAAACAATCAAACAACTAAATAACGTATTAGCGCCAATCACATAATAACTACAGTCGAGCGCAGCGCACGCTGCACCGCACCGCACCATAAATAGTACCAAATAGTACGCACGGGTATAGTAATATAGCGTTGCGCTAGAAATTAATCGAATAAGTAATTACGGTAACCGCAGCGTGCGATAACCGCCCACTGCCACCGCAAGGTTTAGTTGTTACGACAATCGAATAATATCAATTGTAATCGACTTTTATCGACTAAGCTGAACAATTGACTAATTCTATTTTTTAAGTAATAATAGGGTATTTGACACTATCGAAAATAAGTTGTATTTTGTGGTCATCCTGATAGATAATAATCCAATAAAGCTTATTTTTTAACATCTGCAGAAAAAACATGTTTAGATTTAGTAAAATAACGTAAATAAAATGCAATATTTTTAGGAATTTATTCAACGACGTAAACGTCCTATAATTGGTCGTCGTCACAACCAATCACGATTCTGTTTACTGGCCTGTGACGTCATCAGCTGTCATGTCAAAGTAGTGTTAGAGAGATACATAAAATATCTATGCCTGTAGGTATCGAGTACTTTATAGTAATTTACTGATAACAGAATACATTGCCGCTTCTACTGATAAGAACTGCCAAAAAAAAAAATACAAAAAAAAGAATCATTTACAGAGCATTTAAAAAAATCCAAGAAATAGGGAAAACGCAAGCAATTTAAAAAAAGAACAACTTATATGTTTTTTTCATTTCTTGAACTTTTCTATAATAATTCAAAATTACAAAGTCGATTTTCATGATATATAGTGTTCTCCAAGTTAAAAACTTATTTTAAAAAATCATCGGTATCTGATATCTAATTATCAAATGCCATGCATTTATTCGACAGACATACTACATCCATGTATAAAAAATAGAATATTATTTTTCGTACTTATGTCTCATCCATCTGTAGGTCGACAGGCTGTAAAGTGCGAGCCCTGTCAACAAATATAAATGAGTCGTAAAATGATAATGACAAAGAAAAAAACCAAAAAGAAAACCTTCAAATGAATCGATATGAAATAAAAAAGTTTCAATACTTTTAGCGAATCCTTACCTAATTTTATTACCCATCTCTACTCTATATAGCTACTATACTTTTGTGATTATGAATCTATTTTCTTCTAGACTCGAAGTTTGTTTGTTATTTATAGAAGTATTAGTACATTGTGGCACTACGCACCACTTGTAGCTCACTTTTTAAAGAAAACCAGAGCAGAGGAAAATAAAAACGTAAAAAATACGCACTACGACGTACATTTCTCTTTTAAATTATTATTTCAATTTACTCTAGGGATGATCAATATTGTTGTTATGTTGAATGTAATGTTGAATAAACATCGATGTTTTAAATTGGATAACATCGGCACATCGATGTTTTCGTATCAAATATCGATGTTTATGAATAAAATGAAATATAATAAAATACTACTGAATAAAATAAAACACTAGCTAGATGATCTCGTTTATCAAGTTCAACTATTTTATACTAGATGTCACCGGTTGCACTCGTCTGGAGTACGCAAAGAAATAGTTTTTTCTTTGTTTGCATTTTCCTAGGAAATTAGAAATAAATCTGTCAACTTCAGCGCTCGTTGGTGTCTTATAAGTTTCTTTATTCACCGGTCTTAGTTTCAAAGATCCGTACATTAGATAGTTCCACGTGCGAGTGCGGAATCGATAAAGGTACCACTGATACCATCCTCTTCAACTGTCTGAAACAACCTACTTCATATGAGCAACTTCCATCTAAAACCCCCCGTCCCATTAACCTTAATACTATCTTGTCTATTTCTAACATACCTATCTTTTTGCGTCTTGTTAGCATATTAAAAAATATAACAATACACTATAATCTACATGGCACTATCATATATTTAATGCGATATTTTTTATTTAATTTATTAGTGCAATTTGTGACGTTTGCTTTGTCTTGTACTTTAAGAACAAGGGAGGAAGAAAACTATTAAAAATCGTTTCTCACTATCCCGCAAAATTTCTGTGTAAAACGGAAAAAGGTCATTTATGTATATAAAAAAAGTTACTTTATGCTCGTTCTCTCTCCGTGAAACTCCCGCGTGATTTTTGATGTTACTTGTCTTATTCCATTACTTTTATGTTAAGGGGTAGAATCCACCTATCCCACATTAAAAAAGATTGCATTAAAATATTTATGTTGCACAGCGACTTCCACGGCTTCAGAGAGGCTTTTTTCTAAAGCTGGTCAATTCCTTCAACAGCATCGCAATCAATGGTTAGAGAACATCGATGGTTTTCATCGAATGTTGACTTCGATGTCAATATCGATCATCCCTAATTTACTCTAAAGACAGTTGTGACTTATCGATTTGACATATTTACTCTCTGATATTTACTGGCCTGTGCCGTCACGATCAGCGGCATTACATAGAGAAGCGTTTTTCGCGCGCTTTTGGCTATTTAAAATTGGACAAATATTTTTACCAAAAATAGAAAAGATTCCAATGAAATATTATGACAGTGTGTTTATAATGTAGCAAACAACGCTTTAAAATAGTTTTCAGAAAAGTGTAAAATACCCTATTGCCCATCGCTAATGAGGAAGTATTAAAGAAAAAAATATTAGCATATTTCGATTATTTTTGCATTCACAATGCCATACTGAAAATTATTCTTAATACAAAATGCTTAAAAAAATCCACTTGGTCCCTGGCACCCTGAGATGGGAATCGAACCCACGACCTTTCGCAATCCGGGCGACTGCTCTACAACATTAGTTCCCGAAATCAAACTTGATCTCGCTATCGTACGTTCTTGATAACTCCATGAGAACCTTTCTGGTTTTCTATCAAGTTTAAAAGTAAATTAGTTTTCAAAACCCAATAAACAACTCTAATTCTATCTGTACTTTTTCGTATTTGTATTGATATATAAGTTTCAAACGTTTCAATTTTCAATTTTTTAATATATTAGTTAAAAGGAACAGAAGTACCTGTCTTTAGTCCATTCGTTTCGTTTCCTGCAAAAGTTAGAGTCGCCGTCTAGTGGAGGTGCTTTTTTAGTGCTATGGTTTTTTTAATACTTCCCGATACCAGTACTATGTAACGGCCTAGACTAAATTGATTTTGATATTTATATTAATATCATTCGACGTGTGGATGCATAATGACACAAATACAAGCTCCGGTTTTTGTTCTTCAATCCAAACATGAATTCGGATTAAAGTTACTAGTAACCAAAAGTTGGCTCATCGCTAATGTTGGCATATAAACCAAACAGCATTCCTTTACACGTAACATAATAAAAAACTTAAACTTACGATTCAAATAAAATAAAATAAATTTGAAAGTTAGATATTATAAGAAATACGAAACGATGTTATGTTTATTGGTTTTCGATACTCAATTTATTTTTATTACATCAGAAACAAAATTTGAATAAATATCATAGAATATTTCAAATATCGCGACATCTAGTATGATTTGAAGAATTAATTTTTATTTCTTAACTACTGATGCTAATACCGCATTGTAAAGTAACGGCAGTGACGTGAATTACTGAAGTCGAAGTATATATTGTGTTAAGGTATTATTTTTGTAACTTTAAGTAAATAAAGAGTCGGTTTGTGAATCGCCTTAGAATAATAAAAGGTGCCTTCTATTGACATAAAGAAGCGGACCGGTCATACCTACAAAAAAACGTGTATGCCTAATTTTGAAATGCAAATTCATCGATGGCGGACTATCATAGGATGCGACACGTCGTTTTACAAAAAAAGTTAATATTTCGTGAAACTGCTACAAAAGTAGTACTTATTCATAATGTATTATAATTTCCTTTATTAGGGACGTGGCTAAACTGTGGCCAATTACACTTCTATTAATTTCACAGTTACGTACTTATCAAATATTTGTGAATTATTTAAATAGTGTTTATTATTTTCTTAAAATTGGCATGAATTTATCAAAAATTAAAAAATCTTGATGCTTTTTTTCATGTTTTATTAGACTTCGCTCTCGTTAGTATAGTAATGAGGAAGTATAAAAAAGCATTTCCACTAGATGGTGACTCTAACAAAAGGTGATTTTTGCAGGAAACGAATGGACCAAAGACATCTGAAAAGTTCAAATAGAATATGAGTTGTTTATTGAGTTTCGAAAATTAATTTACTTTTATACATAAAAGAAAACCGGTAGGTTTATCATTGAGGAATCAAAAAAGTACCGTAGCAACAACTAGTTTGATTTCGGGAACTTAAGTTTTTTTTAAATACCTCTTTACTTAAGGCACAAACGCAATATGTTATGACGTTACGTAAAATAATGGGTACTGTCAACCTAGTGCCATCTTTGTTCACTAAAGAAAAATCTCAGTAGTTGAAAAGAGACCACAGAATGTTTTAGATGTCAACTTCGGATTGTATGATATTTGTTAACTGTCAATAATACCACTTTTCTATACTCTATGGTGCCTACCATTAAAAAAAATCTATGGTCCACGCAGAATCTCAAGCATAGATAAAATATATATGGTCCTAGGGCTCTCCACTACTCAGTGTTGTTATATCAAAAGTTTTTCCGCGATATTGGTAGAAATATTTTTAGGAGATAATAATTAACGCCAATTAATTTCACAATTTGACAGTAAATTTACTCAAAAAAAAAAAAGAATACAAAAAGCTCCGGTACTAAAATACAGCTCTTCTAAGTAGGTGATATAGATAATTCACCGCACTTTTAATACCATCTCTTTGAATATAGGGATGCAACGATATATAGGAAATATATATATATATTTATATCGACGCACAAAACTATCAAATAAATCTATAATTTTTTTTTTGTGAGTAAATCATAAATGAGCTTATTTTGAGTTGTGGCAAATTTTATCTGTCAAAGGGGAAATTCAAAATGCATACCTGATATCCCTAAACTTATGTTTGCCGTACTTGTAAATCTTAAAAAATTGTTTGGAGATTTTGAGTGATTTCGAGATTGAAATTGTAAAGATATGGCTTTATTTCAAACGTTGAATAGAGCATAAATAGCTATCAATAAATTAAAACTATGTGATGACAATTCGACCTGAAAAGAAGAACTCTGATGCTTAGCATCTGTATTAATTAGTTTGTGATCTGATTATATTTTAATATTTTTAATTCAGCTCTCATTTTGGTTGCTTCCTCGTTTATTTGAATATAAGTAACTCATTGTCTAGCACAATGTCCAACGTAAGCTACGATTTGGACACTTCTGGTGGTCTTATGCCGGTTAGTTGCTGTGTTCTAAATTGAGTAAATCTTAGATCGACTAGCGCCATTTTATAGGGTTTCTTAGTGTGGATATTACAGATGCTCTGGTATGATTTTAGCTTATAAGGGCATTGATAAAACCTCCAGACGAAGATGCGAATGCTCAGAAACCCAAAAAGCCACAGCACCCCTACTATAAGAGGCCAGGAAAAGGTCATAATCACGACTCTTGTGATGCTTGCGGTGAGGGCGGCGACCTTATATGCTGTGACCGTTGTCCCGCCAGCTTTCATCTTGGTTGCTAGTAAGTTACTCCTGTGCTATAATTAATATCAATATAGCATTAAGAATGCAACAGTTAACAAACATACTTAAATTTTAATATGGACATGATATAATATTATGTATAAGTCCCGTAAATTGCTAATGAGCTGGACCTTGTCTGATAATACCCGCACGATGTCATATGAAAATAGAAAGTACAGATAATGCAAAAGGCAAGATTAAACGATTTATTACTTATTGAATTTTTTTTTACAAATACTACCTAAAATATTTTTATAATAATTTAATAACTTTTGATTTCTATGTAAAGGAATAGAATCAATTTATATGTAAATTTTCAAGGTATATGGAAAGTAAAAGAATATGGAAGAAAGATATTTACTTTGTAATAATGCAATAACAAATAGATAGGACATTTTTTTTAAACATTACTACTGTAATAATTAAATGAAAGGCATTAGATATATTTATTACTAATGAAATAATGTTTATTTTGTGGAAATCATTTAAGCAGTTGTTATTTTAGTCAACCATAATAATTAACAACAAAACTTAATAATAACAATCAAAACCAACAAAAATTATATGTGATGTAAACACAACCCAGTTCAATTAGTGTACTCATAAACCAGTGTTTATTTGTTAATGGTACTGATTTTCTAACACAATTACGTCATCAAAATTGTGGCGCTTGGCCACATATGCAATTTGTGGGAATTATACTGTACAAAAAAATGTGTACTTAAACAATAGGTTTTTAGCTATGTAAGTGCCATTCTGCAGAACTGGCCATTTCAAATCAAATTTTTTTTTGGTTATCAACCAAAAAAAAATTTGATTCTAATTTCAAATTAATTTTATATTAAAAACAATTCTTTTTTCTAAAATTGGCATTTGTTTAATAGTTAGTGTTTTGTTTTCAATGCATTCGAACACTTTTTGGTCAAATATATATTTCATCACATGTATATACATCATAAGTAAAATAATTGAGTAAATACAGAGTATTAGTAACGCAACATCAACGACGCAATGCGACATCAACAACGTTATGGAGCGAACACTGCAAACAAATGCACCATTGTGGAAGCTGATGAAACTCAGAATTAACCGCAGATTTCGACGTTAGCATCAACACAATATTGGTCCACTTGCGTTAAATTAGCAAGGTAAAAAAACTTGACAAATGGGTAGCCCACGAAGCCACTGATCGCCAGCGCGAAGTATGCGTCGAGACGTGCCTTGCGCTGCTCAACAGGCATACAAATGAAGGAATTTTTAACTGCATTGTTACTTGTGACGAGAAATGGATCCTGTTCGACAATCGTAAGCGCTCAGCAAGTTGGTTGGACCCTGGTTCAGCACCCAACCAATGCCCTAATGAAAACTTACCCCTAGAAAAGTGATGGTCACTGTTTGGTGGTCTAACGCGGGTGTAATTCATCACAACTTCTTATCAAACCAGATGAGCGTTATTGCTGATGTATAGTTTGAAGAATTGAACACAATGATGGAGTAACTAGCACGTCTCCAACCAACATTGGTTAATCGTTTGGCTCCACTGCTCCTGAACGACAATGCTTGACCTCATACTGCACAGCAGACGATTTCCAAGCTACAAGAGCTGAGCTTGGAAGTTCTCGGTGATCCAACGTACTCACCAGACCTTGAGCCTACAGACTTCTCCTTTTTTCAGAATCTGGATAACTTCTTGGTGGGAAAAAAAAATCGATTCCCGAGAGGCAGTACAAAATGCCTTTGAAGAATTTTGTTGCCTCCTGTCCTGCTGATTCTTTCAAAAAAGGGCATCAATGAGCTACCAATGTTGGCAAAGATGCATGGGTGATTAATAGAAATAAACAATGTAGAAAAAAATGCTTCATTTATTTAATGAAAAATGGCAATAACATACGTAAAGACCTTATATTATTTTGTATTATGGTAAATGTACACTATCCATTATGTCTTTTTTTAAAGTTAGTTAGCTAGTTTACCATTTTGTATGGTACCACATTAATTATGATCCTAGGATAACTGAAACAACACATCATTAAACATAATTGCAATTATAAAAGCTTCTGAATTTGTCCAACTCTCATCAGTTAAGGAGACCATATAATGGAACTTCTTTTTTTACCCAGGCATTCCTACTCCCTCTCTTTCCATACCCTTGTTAACTTAGTTCAAATTATAGATTCAAAAGTAAAGTGTTCCCACAGTGACCCACCGTTGGATGAGCAGGACATTCCTGCGGGATTGTGGCTGTGTCGTGAGTGCCGAGCCTCTGATGCGGAGAAACCACCCAGTTCACGTGGCAGTCGACCACAGTCTCCGATAGAGTCTAATGACAGGAAGACTAGGTGGGCATCAATCATTTTTATTTAAATTATTTTTGACTGTCAATGTTATTTTTCAATTAGCTTACTATTCCCAGTTCTTTACAGTAATGTTTTCTGTCATAATTTTTTGACTAGTGGAAAATTAGTTGTCAAATATAAAAATAGAAATGTGCCGAAAACGGATTTAACCAAATTTGAAATCAATCAACCTACACCTGGTCAGAACTTATTTGATTAATTTCTGTGTCAAAATCAATCTACTTCCTATCTGTTTGATAATATAGAACTAACCTTTATTTATGCGTAATTGGCAGAAAAGCTCTTTGCTAAAGTTACCTTTAACAATAGTTATTTTATCTGCTTTATAATTTAAAAATTCAGATCTCTTCGCAATAGCCGAGCGAATTCAGCAAAAAAGAAGAGCAAAGAGGATGAAGAAGAGGATAAAAAAGAAATTGAGGAGTTAACTCCTATGGAGATTCTGGTGAAGGCAGCACGTATCATGAACCCGCGACAATTCGAGCTGCCGAGGGAGATGAGAGTACCCTGCCTCTTCCCTGGCACTGAGAAAGGTACCCGATGTATAAAATACAAGGGATAGGAATAATGGTTAAACTTATTAATATTTAGCTATATCATGTTACATCCTAGTACTAACTGTACATGCACGAAACCTGTACCCTGCTGATACGTTTGACTGTCAATGATTCAATTTATCCTTACAATGTATTCATTTCTAGAATGCTTATCTTTTTGTATCCACAATGCAGTACAAAGTTACCGAGCAGGAAGAAAATTCAATCAATTCTAAATTCTTTGTTAGTCTAATGTCCATTTCGACTAAACTTAGGAGTCGCCCAAATTTGTCGTTTAATCGCTGATATAATATTTAAGAATCGCCTAAGGTGAACATGTATTTCTCCAATTACTAGGAACCATCTGAAGACATTATGTAATTATGACATGAGTTATGTGGCGTCTTGCGCTAGGCATTTGCGTAGGAAGACAGGTCACAAATGTGTCAAAGGATAACAAAAATATGATTTTTTGGAATTAAACTAATCTGCTTAGGCAATTCGTAAGATAAAGCGTTTCCTAGTTAAGCTATGCCTCGTCCTAGGTTAGTGAAAATTGATAATAGGTTGGGGAAAAAGTTTCTTCGCATTTTATATAAAAATTCAAAATATTCTTTAATAAAGTTTATTTACATTGAACTAAAGTATGTAGGTATAATTTTGTTTGATAACTTTTCGCCGTTTTGTAGGTACATGATTCTATATTGCTATTTAAATTTAGTTGCTTCTGATCAAAAAACCGCGACAAGTGATTTTGGCAGTCCTCGCGTGATGTTAACTTGACACTGGCAAAAAATTCTGAGCAGACCGAAACAGGTGGAAAGGTGCAAGGTCAGGACTATACGGCGGACGCGTTAACACCCCCCAGCCAAACTTTTCATTTATGCCGAGTGGCAAAAGATATGCGAGGTCTAGCATTATCATAATGAAAAACCACACCCCTTCTATTGATTAATTCTGGCTGCTTTCTATCAACTTTTTATTTTAATCTTATGAGTTTTTCGCAGTAGAGTTCAGAATCGATAGGTTTTTTCTGTGAGCTCGTGAGGTACCCAAATATCCAACTTTTTTGTGTACTCAGCTTTTTTTCAAGTACGCCAAAACTGTTTTGTGGTCAATCCCCAGATCTTCAGCTACGTCGTAACTAATGACATGCCGATCTTGCTCCACTTTTTCAAAAAATGGCGTCTGTAACAGGGCGACCACAGCGACGTGCCTCTTTTTGTTGTATTTATGATCAGAAACCCCAAAATTTTTATAGCAATGGGCTCATGAGAACAAAACGGTAACTACATACTTTAGTTAAATGTAGATATTAAAAAAGTTTCGAATTTTCATATAAAATGCGTAGAATCTCTTCCCCTAACGTAATGATGTTGTGGCATTGTGGCATTGTGGCAGAGGGCGGCAAGAACGGCAACTCGTCGCTAGTGAGCGTGGACTCGTGGGGCTGCGTGCCGCTGCCGGCCAAGCTCTGCTTCGTGTGCGAGGGCACCTGCAAGGCCGCGCCGCTGCTGCAATGCGACTACTGCCCGCTGCTCTACCACCAGGCCAGTCTATATATATACACACTCGCTATACTTACGTGTTACGGCGAAGATCATCTGGAAGATCATTACAGAAGTCAATGACAGTAAAAAAAATCATTTCATTTCGATAACCATATGAAGCGAATTAGATTTTCTTTGGTTTGAGTCAAACAAATATCTGTTTGTTACTATTTCATGTAAAAACTATTTAACAGATTTTGATAAGACTCTTAACGATCGGCTAGGTCTATGTTGCTGGCGGAAAGCTATTTTTATTTTCCATAAATATATTTTGTTGTGCAATATCCCCAACACTTAAGTGGACTACTGTTGATTAGTCTCATCCAAAGTCCAGAAGTCAGTAACACTTTGTGATAGAAGTGTCGATTGAGCACTTTTTGAAATTCATATTTTAAAAAGCCGTCTTTCGATGACTCCTATGGCATGGTAATATGTGACCCCTATTATATATGACTTAAAAGAGGTTTTTTTTTACTAAGTAATTTTGTTTTACCCAAAGTTATTCTGATCTTCGCTCCTGGGATAATAATAACATATCAAGCGAGTACTGTGGGATAACAAACTACTTGTACCACGCCTCATTAACAAAAAACGGGTCAAGACTACCACAGTCGAGCATCAACCTGCTGTACTTCTATACATGGAAAGTGTCACAGACAAGATTTCATGGATTTTGAAGCGAGCTTCAACTAATACTTACTTTAAGCCGCCGTTCAGCCAATTCATAAGACCTGTCAAGTGTAATATCCCCTTTCAAGTTGCAGGTGTATACAAACCAGAATGCGACTGTGGACTCTCTCTCGTATATCGGGCAGACAAAGAGGAGCATAGGAACTCGCGTTAGGGAACATGTAGCTGACGTCGAACATAGACGCAACATGCGTTAGGAGGGCCCAAGCATTACATAAGATTTGACAATTCAAAAATACTTGCGGCAGAACGAAAATTCATCCCTAGAATATTACGCGAGGCTCTTGAAATTAAAAAACATGTGGATTTTAATAGAGATGAAAGTTGGCATAGACCACCGGCTTGGGATCCAATAATTAGTCTAATAAAATCTCAATCCAGTTCACAAGTTTCATTCTGTAAATATTAAATCAAAGGAAACAACTAACTTTTCTTATCGGAGTTTGTTTTGCCAGTTTTTCTCAGACAAGACTCCCAAAGTTGGAACTTGTGGTAGATACGGTAGCTAGGGGTAAATAAATGAGTCAAATGTATTTTAAAAAATAATAAATTTAATAAATGTAAATGTTGCCTTTTTTTTTTGTATTGTGAATGTGTCCCATAATTTTGAAGGTAGCTCTACTCTGAATTAAAAAGACAACCTTAGTCTGAAACTGTTTAAAAGTTGTTTCATTTATGTCATATACAGGATTGTTTGGACCCTCCACTGACGGCATTGCCAACCGGACGCTGGATGTGTCCCAATCATGTCGAGCAGTACATTGTAAGTTGAATCTTTTTAATTGAGGATTTTCGGACAATTCATTGAGGGTTGTAATAACCCAAATGACTCTCTCGTGACGTGTTTTACAAAGAATTAATTTATATCTTTCTGATTTCTATTTGATTTTTAATTATAAAAAAAAAAACTATCTCTTTTGATTTTAATTATTCTTAAGTCAATTTACAATAGTAGTAATTGGTTAGCGAGTAATTAATTAAAAAATATTTATAATTTGGATGAGATTGTTAAACGCAATGAGTAGACTATCCAAAAGTCTTATCTCCAGCTTTAATTAAAAGAAACGTTTGCTCACAGCGTCTTTTAAAAATTTGCGCAACCTATATTAACACCACCCGCAATCCGAGTTTAAAAACGCTTTTATAGAGAATCAATTGCTAGTTTTGGTAAACCAAAAATTACTTTTAAAGGTTTTATTGTCTGTTTAATCAAATGTAGGTAACAATATTTCATAGACAGGACTTTTACATATAGATATGTTGTTAGGACTGGAAGTTGGTTAACTCCGTATCGGCGACGGAGCGCGTGGCGCTGTGGGAGAAGTTCTCGGGTCCGGTGGACCAGCACGCCATCAAGATAGACTTCATACGGCGCGCTCGGGCGGCCGCGCCACTGTTCAGGTACGTACTGGCACATCAGCTAGTAATGTACCAACCGGACACTACACAGTCGAATGAAGTGTTTTAAACTGTTTATGAAGTCAGTGTTACATCTTATCGAGTCACTTCGTTAATTAGGTGAAGGTGGGGATCGAATGAATTGGTTTTGCTATTAGAAATTGACATTTCATTTTAGTATAAGAAATTTAAACTCAAAGAGAATCACTACATAGTATGAGACAAAGTCGTTTACTTTCAAAATTTTTAAAACTACGCAACGGATTTGATGCGGTTTTTTTCATAGATACGGTGATTCAAAAGGAAGATTTTATGTATAATAAGTTAGTGATATTATAATTGTAATTTCGACGATCACGCTGGAGACTTTGCTGTCTTCTCAGGGTCCACGGAACGCTGATTAAGAATCATCAGTATATATCGACATGTGGGTCGTTTGATCTGTCGCATAAAATGTACGACTAAATGAATATTGGACCCGGGGACACGGTATTTTCCCTCAAACGTAAATGCAGGAAATTTTGATTTACCTATATATAGCTCAGGTTCTACCTTTGTGGCATCATTTCGCGAGCAATAGAGCAGGCTCTCAGACGGGTGTGTGTCGTTGTCTGCAGGATGAAGGTGCCGGGGTGCGGGGGCGGTGGGGGCGGGGGCGGGGGCGGGCGCGTGGCGGTGCCGGGCATGGTGCGGCGCCACTACCGGCGCCCGCCGCCGCTGCTGCCCGCGCGCCGCGAGCACGTGCGCTGCGCCAACGGTAACCGGACACTGTAGTTCAACTCGCTCGGATACGTTGATCGCCTTTTGGCGGTCTATTGTTTTTTTTTTGATGTTGTGTAATACATCTTATTGATGAGAGAGTTGTAATAGAAGTCACTTGTGGGCAATAATAATAAAAAGTATATATTTTATTTAGTCACTGCAGCAACAAGGTTCTTAAACTTATTTTAACACAGAGTCTCTTTATATTAATAAAATAGGCTTGCGTCCTACAAGTGAAAATACAGGTTTTTGTTATATCTTCGAAAAATATGAACCATTTTAACTTATAAATGTTTAACGAAACAAATTTTAAGTCACTTATTTGGAAAATATTACGCTTTAAAAACTTGAAAAAAGTATAGAAAATCTACTACAAAAATTTGCTAAAATACATACGGCATTAAATTTGATATAAAAAATGTTACAACTTTCTTTATAACAACTATTATAAAAATTGTATATTACAAAAATTGTCCAGACGCCCATACGTTTTTCGCTACTGTAGCATCGTATGACGTCACTGAGTGCCTTGAATTTGTAGGGAGCGTTTTCGGCCAGCAGATCTACAAACATAGCACCGTATCTTCGAAACTATTAATCGCAGACATGCTGTTACTTCGACATTATTTCTCAGATGTTAATGGACTATTTATTTATAAAATAAAAAAGAAGTTATCAACTAGCCTATTATAGAAAAAAAAAGGTAAAACTATGGTGAAATAATGGTAGTAGAAAATATGATTAAAGGTGTGAGTACGCACGATTGGTATGGCGATCGGTAAAACACTAACTTTTACTTCAATATTGCGAAACATAATTTAAAATAATTATGAATTAAGTAGCAGACGAATATTGCTGACCTGCGTTACCTTCTTATTATAGTTCAATGTGCGGTCGGGTTCGTACAGTTGTTATATTTTTTGGTATCACAGTGAATCCTGCGATTTACTTTCGTGCCAGATATTTAAGGATCACCAAATTCTTTTCAGTGTTGAAAAGGTTAAAAGAAAGCGAGGATTACTCCGAAGTGGGAGGGGAGGAGGACGGTCCCAAGCATCAGATATGTCTGAACCTGGAGTGCCCGCAGTACAAGAGCGGGCGGGAGTGGGCGCCGTGCCCGCACTCGCTGCGCGCGCGTGACGTCACCGGGTACGGGCGCGCGCGTGACGTCACGCCTCCGCGGGCGCGCGGCGGCCACGTGCCCACCGACGGCGGCTCCACGTCACAGGTGGCCACACCACATATGCTCCGTTTATATTGTCACTATTTTGACACTTCATATAGTTCCTTTAATAACCTTATGATACAATATATTCGACAACAGGAAGAGAAGCACACGGAGTCGTCGAGCGATCTGTCCGATTCGGACTTCGAGTACCTGACGGCGTCGGTGAAGCGCAGGAAGGTGTCCCCGAAGCGGGCGGCGCGCGTGGAGCTGCGGCCGGACGAGGACATCGACGAGCTCCTGGACTGCGTGGACTCGCAGCTGGCCCAACTGGACCACCGCCTGGTGCGCCTGCTGGCCTGGCAGCGGCTGCAGCAGGTCACTCGGCGTTGTCTTTGCTCGTTCATCATCACCGCGGACGGTGCTCCCGGCGCGTTTAATCATATTAATATTTATGAATTTAACGTTACTTATAATTTTTTTATTATTATTTTTATTTAAAACAATGAGTAGCGCAATAGAGCAATAAAAGTTTCAATGAATATGGTTAAAAATCATAATCGTTTGTGGATGTAAAACTAAAAAAAAATTAAATTAGGAATTCGTTACGAATCTTCTCAAAAATATTTTAAAGAGGTGTTACGAACGATCAATTATAACAATAGACGATTCGATCACAAATATCTTTCGAGTATCAATCCGAGAGTCGATCTTTCAGAATAAAAAATAAAAAAATAGTTTCGAAATATCGACAGTTTTCGGATCGAGAATGCGGCGTCCCAGTCCGACTCTAAGAATTCGATCGGCGGGTTCTCTAAATATTCGAAGGGGACATGTAAACGCTCGACCGCGTCGATGATACGAAATAGGAACGGGGCTCGATATAGAGTATCGGCTAACACGTGTGCGCGCGCGCAGGTGCTGATGGGCGAGCTGGCGGGCGGGTGGGGGCTGCGCGCGGGCGTGGGGGCGCGCGTGGGGGGCGCGGTGCGGCGCGCGGTGGCGGGGGCGCGTCTGGCCCGCGTGGGGGCGCGCCTGCCCTCCGCGCTGCTCACGGCGCGCGACCGCCGCCGCATCGCCACCGCCGTGTGGGGGCCGCCGCCCGGCGCCGCCCCCGCCCCCGCCCCCGCCCCCGCGCCCCTGCGCCCGCTGCACCCCGACGCGCTCGTGCGCGCCACGCTCACGCGCGTGCACGAACACGACAGGTCAGTGCGCGTTTCCCGCTGTGATGATCTCTTGAAAAAATTGAACGAGCACTAGTGTTAATTGATAAATAAACACTGATCGACATCTTTTATGTTGACTATATTTTTTATAAATCAAATTTCTACACTGCGCTGCTCCTGCCTTATTTATATATTTTTATTGTATAAGGGTGTACATACTTATAAAGTGGGCCCTTTTCCGGGTTTATATGCAGATATAAGACTTATATAATCCTCAAGAAATCATGTTTCTAGGATAGTTTAAAAACCGCTTTTGGCTGGTTGGGACTCTATTTGGGTGATCCCATGGAAATCGAACTTCTGATTTCTGATATAAAAAAAAATCTATATAGAATCTGATATCGCAGCAGACTCTGATGTCGTAGATTTAAAAAAAAAATGTTATTCTCATTTAATTATATTTAAAGAACCTAAATTACGGATGTATCGAACAGGAAGTTCAACCTCCGCTAATAAATACATGCAAGTATCATGAACCGTTATGGCCTGAGCCCCCCAGTGGCACACGTATACCGTTGCAGGAACGGCGCGGGCGACTCCGTGGGCGAGGTGGTGCCGATGCGCGGCGCCTCGCTAGTGGTGGGCGCGGGCAGCGGCTGCCGCGTGCGCCTGGAGGGCGGCTGCCCGCGGGTCTCCGCCCACCACGCCACCATATTCATGGACGAGGTGCTGACAATGTTCCGACCGCGTTGCTGACTTTTTTATTTATTCATTTATAGTTAGGTACACGAACAGCAAACTGTTCTGGTTTTGCTGTACGATGTTGGAATTTAAAATACTCTGTGTATTCCAAATAAAGTCGAAATAATCTTTATTCAAATAGACTTCTTAAAAGTACTTTTGAATCGTCCAACATTTTTTTGCCCTATCGCTCCTTCGGGACGTCCTTTGGCTGATAAGAAGAACGAGCAAGAAACTCACCAGCTTTAATTAGAGTAATGATATTCAGAAAAACCATGTCATTACCAGATCTGTAAATTACAAATAGAGAGAAAAAAGTATGGTCTTATAATAATAATGGCAACTATTTTTTCCTATAGGATGGTTGACAACTTTTTATTTTATAAATAAATAGTCCATTAATATCTGACAAATAATGTAGAATAATATAATATGTCTGCGATTAATAGTTTCGGAGATATTGCTATGTTCGTGAAACAGACTGCCGAAAACGCTCCCTACGAATTTAATGCACTATGTGCATAAATGACGTCACACGGTGCTACGGTATCTAGAAACGTTTGGACGTCTGGGCATTCTAAGTAATATCTTTTGTTTATAGCTGTTATAATGATTGTAGTAACCTTTTATGTAACTAATTTAATGCCATACATAATGTAGCACTTTTTTGTAGTAGTTAATTTCAAGGTTTCGAAGCGCAATATTTTCCAAATTAGTGCTATAAATTTATTATTTAAATGTTTATTAGTTAAAATGGTTCATATTTTCTGAACATATAACAAATACCTGTAGCACACGAGCCTATTATTTGGAAGTCAAAGAGCCGGTCACGGTAATTGAGGTTTAAATATAACGATTTCCCAATGCTCGAAGTTTTTTTGTTAAGACAATAAAGATTTATGTGTAAGAAAAATATGATGTGTATGTGTTTGGTCACCCATCTTGTGCCCGGCCGTTGCCTGAAAGTGCTTAACCTCCGCGCAGACCGAACGATTAACATAGTACGCGTGTCTATGTGTGGTGGGTGACAGGTGACGCGTCACTTCGAGTTGATCAACTACTCGGAGTGGGGCACGGAGGTGAACGGCGTCCTGTACGCGTGCGACGTGTCGCCGCGACCGGCGCAGCGCGACCGCGACCACGACCACGACCAGTCGCAGCCTATACCGCTGCTACTCAGAAACAGGGAGCGGCCCGTCAGGAGGTACACATAGCTGTTTTATATCACAATATGTCTTTCATTTAAGCAGGTATATATTAATTTTAAAAATACAGTAGAGCGTCGATTATCCGAACTAATCGGGAGACAGGGGTGTTCGGAAAACCGATTTATTCGATCGAATCGAACTGTTTTTGTTATTTCTGTATTGATATAGCCATAAATATTTTTTATCGACCTTCATAATTATATTTTTATTGAGAAATAGGAATTAAAAAACATATAAACTGAAGTATTTGCAACAAAACATTCTAAGTACAATATTGGCGAAAATCGAAGAGCATTAATTTTTAAGGACATTTATATACTGGTCGTTCTCGACTTGCGTTTCAAACCAACGCAAGGCAATATCTAAGCAAGTAAACGCTTCTGAAGCACCAATTATGTTTTCATCTTCATTATCTGAACTTGCAGTAGATGAAGTGGTGTCAGTTTTATTAGTCATCAGATTTAATATTATAGAAATTAAATATTGTTGAAGGGAGAGTCGGGAGTTCGGATAAGCGGTCGTTCGGTTGATCGACGTTCGGATAATCGACGCTCTACTGTTGTGCGATAACCCTTTTTATCGTGCATGATATGGCGTTTACGGAAACAAGATTTCTTTTAGAAGTTAAGGTTTATTATGACAAAAAATGTGCTTACTTTAATTACTTGTAGCACTTATAATAATAATTAAAAAAGTTAAACAATTATAAATCACAACTTGCAAAAACGATAGAACGAATTACGTTTCATATACAAAATGGGGCGTACGAGAGTTAAGGTTTTGCTCATTGATAGGTGTTTAATAGGGCAGTTTCGGTACTGATATATAAGTTACGGAATTGAACAAAAACTAAAATTTACATAGTAATATATACGAGGGTCAAACTGAAAGTTCTTAGAACTGGCCACTTATAAACAATATAATAAAAAAATAATTCTAAAATTTGAAAATATAACTCTTTGCCAATATTACTGAGTATATATTTCATTCATTTGTCATTTGTTTTACGATTTGGCGGCAAATTGAAAATTGTCTGTGTCACGTCATCATGAATTTAACACGAGAAAATTTTCGTGCAATGATTTTTTATGACTTTCGATGTCATTTAAGTCAACAAGAAAGTTATGATAGACTACGATTGGCCTTTCACGATGAAGCCCCATCTCGTGCGACTGTTTACAACTGGTTTAATGAGTTTAAACGTGGTCGCACTAATCTCACTGATGATTTACGTGAGGGACGGCCTTCTACGGCGACGACTGAAGATAACATCTGTGTTGTGCGGCGTATGATAGAGACTGACAAAAGAGTGACCTATCAACAGATTCGGACAAGCTTAGGCATCGGTATGAGTCAAGTGCACAAAATCCTCCACGAACATTTAGCGGTCAGGAAGCTTTGCGCCCGGTGGATACCTCATAATTTGACTGAGGCTCAAAAACTCCATCGTGTGGATTGGTGTCGTAAAATGATTGAAAGATTTAACGGAGGTGACTCAAATGCTGTGTTCGACATACTAACAGGTGACGAAAGCTGGATTTACTGTTATGATCCTAAAACCAAAAGACAATCTGCTCAGTGGGTGTTTCCTTTCGAGGAGTTGCCAACTAAAGTGAAGAGAGATCGAAGTGCGGGAAAAAAAATGGTGGCCTCGTTCTTTGGAAGGATAGGTCATTTTGCAACAATTGTGTTAGAGGATCAAAAAACAGTTTCTGCAGAATGGTACACTACCAATTGTTTGCCACTTGTCTTGGAAAAAGTTCGAGAGAAACGACCTCGCAGTAGGATCCTCCTTCACCACGACAACGCCTCGTCGCACACCGCCAAGCGAACGATCGACTATTTGGCGACATCAAACGTTGAATTACTGGGTCACCCGCCGTATAGCCCCGACCTCGCGCCTTGTGATTTTTATTTATTTCCAAAAATTAAAGAAAAACTTAAAGGAAAGCGGTTTATGAATGCTGAAGAAGCGGTGGCTGCGTATCGCGATGCCATTGAAGAGACCCCTAAGGACGAGTGGGCAAAGTGCTTTTCCCAGTGGTTCCATCGCATGCAGCGGTGTATTGACGTGAATGGACAATATTTTGAAAAGATATAATAAAACTAATAACTGGCTAATGTAATCAGTTTTTGATTTTCTAAGAACTTTCAGTTTGACCCTCGTATAGGTATTTGGATTTTGAGTATTAAAATCGTCGTAAAAGTCGTGATTCTCAGTACGTGTGTCACGTGACTTGTGTGACGCTACTGTGGCGACAGCTGTGTCAGATTAGTCATAAAGATATGTCTATTAGTTATAAATCGAATTCATAGATGGCGCTGTTTTCGCGGGTATAAAAAAGTTTAAATTTTGATTTAATTTTAAGGAATAAAACGTGTTCATTTTCCCGAAATATTTGTTTTATGACTTTTTTTTAAATAAGAATAAACAGTGACGTGTATTATTTTGGAACAGAGTGAACGGCGAGCTGACGTTGCCTCTGGGGGCGGAGGGCGGGTGCGCGTGCGTGGCGGGGGCGGGGGCGGGGCGTGGGGGCGGGGGGCGCGTGGGAGGGGTCGGCGCTGGTGGGGCACGGCGCGCTGCTGCGGTTCGGGTGCCGCGCGTACGTGTTCAGCATCGCCGACTGCCTCGCGCTGGACGACTGACGCGCGACCGAGTAGTTATAGCGTGTGCGTTGTTGTTGATCGGTTACATGTGCGCACACGCACCTTCCCGGTGAACAGATGAGGTGCTGGCGTGCTAAAACGCTATCTAGCATATATTTTAATAACAGTCCCCCGCTGTCAGATTACTAAGGACGGTGTAATGAAATTTGAAGCCGTATCGGCGGGTTTTTAGCGCTTTAGCGGTCAAAAACACAGGGCGCTGTTGGGCGACGGTACCTTTTATAAATAAGGAAAACACTAGCGGCCGGTTTCTGAATTGAGAAAAGTACATAATCTCAACTGATCAGTCTCGATAGGTTTTTTACGTTTCACGAGGCATATAAGTCTTAGTTTTATCAAACTGCTATCGACTGATCATAGAAAAATAAAAATCCGCAACGATAACTTGAATGACGTTTAAATACAATTTGAGACGTGTTTAACTTTAAATTCTCTATTCAGAAACGGTGTACATAAAAAAGAACGAGGAGCTCCGTCTGTATATCAGACGCAGAGAGTTCCGTGTCCGCCATCCGTCCGTCCGTCCGGCGCATGCGTGTATATCGGCCGACCGTCCGATGGCGTGATATTGAATCGTTCCGATAGGCCGATATCTGCCGCGCTCTGAAATTTAGCCTTCTGCGCAGACGCAGCAGTGAGCCATTGTAATGCAACCACTATCGGATCGCCGATAACAAATTTGATATCAGCTGTCTATTTTTGACAACTAGTTATTTTCACAACATTCTAAAGTCCAAGTGAATTTCACTCTAAGGCAAACGCGATAACGCTAAATTTTTGACTTTGCTCGATCATTCCGATAGCCGAAGTACGTGGAACGTACGAACATATACCTATTTCATTCACCAGTATTCTTCCGCACACGCATACACATGACAGGTTGAATTACACGACCGTCAATGTAAAGCATTGATCGCTTACAAATTTGTACGTATTGCTCCGAATATTGTATGGCGAGTCGCCCAAACATCAACGTTATGTGCTTTGCATTAAGAGTGAATTCAGCTTTACTTTAAAGCGTTGTGGAAAATAGGTAGTTATTACTGTCTATTGTGAAAAACGTCCATCGCCGGTGAGCTACATCTATTGTATTCTCCTGTTCCTAGTTAGGTCTGAATGTTAACAAATAAATAAGTTCTTTGATAGCATTATCAATTTGCGAAACGTTTAGTCACATAATTTGATATAGTTCTGCAGAAAAGAAACAGCATATCCAGGATAATTTATTGCGATTGAAGTAATTGTTATTTTTCAAGATATTATTGGATATTCTACTACATTACTGTTTATGTAAGTTTGTGATTGATAAAGTAAAAAAAAAATGAGTGTTAATTATATATAAATGAATACTTCTGTATTAGTATTTATAAGGATGAACTGTGGGCATAATGTAAGTTTCACATATCAATTAAATTAATGTAAGTTAAATAATTTGTTTTTCATTTCTCATGCACATCTTCATTACAAATTGAGTAGGGGAAAATAAAACCAATTGTAAAATGGCTAAAGAGTTTATTCATCATCATCAGGATCAGGTTCATCAAAATCTCTTATTTTAACATCTGTATCCTCTCCGTATTGTATAATATTGTCTATTGTAAGTAGTATGTTTTCTATGCTGTCCTCGTCTTTGATATTTAGAGGATAGAAACGTACCAAACTAAAGTTTTCAATAACCTCACCGATGGCTTCTGTTAGCTTTGCATATTTCCCATGCCATCTCGATTGACCATTCCTCATATCTGCTAATAGTATGTGAGGATCGGGATCCAAATAGCTGTAATAGAATATTGTAATTATTGAACTAGTCTAGATTGGTATAAAATTAAGGAGATATTAAATAAACTAACTCGTCTAGTTGCCTCCTAGTAGTCTTGCTGAGTAGATCCATTTTTGTGAGTATATTTACGTGTGGTATTTCCAAATTCACCATCACACTTAGTGCTGCCATAGTACCTAAAATATTTAATTCAATAGGTTGTGTAACAATAATATGGAGTCAAAGATTAAAGAAAAATATATATGATGGGCAATAAAAACATACAGTCAACCTACTGCAAACGTTTATTGAAAGGTAATAGCATGATTTTGATGTTTGAAGCCTGATATAAATATAATAACGGTTTATATCCCTACATAGCATAAAACAAATTCTCTGTCCCTATATTCCTATGTATGCTTAAATCGTTAAAACTACACAATGGATTTTGATACGGTTTTTTTTTTCATCAATAGGGTGAAGCCACTAGTGGAAAGCTAGTAAGGAAATATATAATATAAATATTTTCTTATATGTTCAACTGAAATTCATTGAGACACCATTAAAGATGCCTTTATTTTAGCATTAGCAGAATTGATGCCCCAAAATTCACATTTATATGTATAGTAAAATTGGTAACTGTACATTTTTCACTTCAATTGATTTTAACCCTTATTACTTTGTATGTAGAGTTCATAGATTAAAAATTAGACTGTATACTAAATTGAAATATTAACCTGATAAGAACTTAGCTCCATCTACCATAAACTGTGAGTCGATCATAAACACTGCGCATACCCTGAAGTTCCACCTCTGCAGCATGTCGACCAGACGCCGCATGACCGGCAGGTGGGTGTACAACTCGATCTGACCCGGGCAGTCGAACAGTATGTAATCATCGTCGACGTCGCCCAGTTGCTCTTCAAGCCAGTCACAGTTCTCTAATAAGGTCCTATGGATTAAATTATTTTACGCAAGTCAAATACTTGAAAGAAAAAAAGCAAGCCTAATATTGTTAAGTACACAAAACATAAATCTTAAGATAGGTTTGGGAATGCCAAATTCACACAAATAATAACACATTTTATATCGAGTTATACAGCCAGTTGCATAAACTACCATTAAAATTATCATTAGTTTGAAGCAATATTACCCATACAAATTTGACATTTATTAGAGCTGTAAGGCGTCATCAAACATTAATTAATGTATGTGCAACTAGGTGATAATGAAATGAAACGAAAATATCTTTATTCAAGTAAGCTTATTACAAGCACTTTTGAATTGTCCAAAAAATTTTTTCCCCTACCACTTGTTCAGGACGTCTTTTAGCTGACAAGAAGAACAAGCGAAAGAAACTTATCAGCACTTTATCATAAGTAATGAAATTAACAAAATCATGTCATTACCAAAATAATATGTATTATCACAATAATAAATACAACTTTCAAAGTCTGTAGGTCATAGTTTGTACATATAATTAGTTGTTATAGAACAAAGCGAAAGCTATTAATTCCATGCATTTCGGTCCTTAAAATAATCAACTTTATAATAGCCTTTACTCATAAGTATGTTCTTTACATGAATTTGAAATTTATTTATGGTAGGTCAATTACATTTAGTGGAAATTTATTGAACATAGCCATGAATTTACCCAGAAATGACCCTTTGGTTTTCTGAAGTCTGAATCAAAACAATTAATTATTCAATATTACACAAATTCCATTATTAAGCAAATGACCACTATTGAGATACAGATGTTACAAATTATTACAAAAAATGCTCACTCTATACAAAATACAAGTCCACCATTTGGTCCAAACTGTAATTCTTCATCTTCCATAGCATCATCCAGGTGTATTAATTCTCTGATGTCAACAAAAGGCGTATAATCAAAATGTTCAGCAGCAGGATCCAAGTTCACCACTTCTATGATGCGTTTGGTGTCAGTGGCATGTTTTACCATTGTTGAACAGTAAGTTGACTAAAAAACATATAGATTAATATTGTAATTAAAAATAAAATAGTTTCATTACACTGCAAGTGACATGTTTTTGATCTGAAACCTGATTCTAAGTAAATTATATGCAAGTTTATTATTTAGGTTGATATATTAATGATTTAAGTTAATAAAAACATTTATATAAAACATGTTTTCTATGAGTAAATGTGCAGGTATGTGGGAATAAATCATTAAATTATTTTATATTAGGTAATTAAGAGACTAATATCAGTGCCCATTTTTTTTTCTATTACCTTATATAACATTTGTAACAAATACAAATGTAACAAAATGAACTAACCTAAAAGTTTGAAAGTTAGATCTTAATAAATGTAAGAGAATAGTTTAAACACATTTACTTACCTTTCCACTGCCAGCAGGGCCAATAACTAATTGGGCATAACGCATTTTTATATTTATAGACTTGTGAATTTTTATTAAAACACCGAAAAGCTTTTCAGAAGTATCTTTCAAAATATTTGTATTCCCTAGTTTGTGGTGATGCTTTTAATAATTGATTTGGTTTGAATCAATCAATGAGAAGCCACCTGCTCGACTTCCGTAAGTCGTTTTTAAAATAAGTATGCACAAAAAGGCAGAATATCATTGAATTGGATATCCAATCAAAACCATAACAATGCTTTACCACAGATGTCACAGACAGTGAGTAGTAGTATTATAATTCGTCCATGGGACAGGCGAAGGAATATCATTGATTTGGAAAGCAAAACCATAACAACGGGACACTGTAGGATGATCGCTATTCATCGATGTTCGAAAATCGAATATCGCACGTCGAACATTTCCTATTCAAACATCGATGTTTATGAATAAAATGGCAATATATCCTTAGCGATCATCTAACGTGCTATCGATGTACTAGCCAGATGATCACGTATATCAAGTTCAACAATTTTTTACTAGATTTTACCGATGTTTTCCAATATCGATGTTCAGTTTTCGATAATATCGATGTTGGGTTGACGATGATGTCACCGATGACAACATCGATGGTTTTCGAATATCGATATCTCTAGACACATGGACACACATCGACTTTCACGTTCGGTAGTAGTTTCGTCTATAAGTTAATGGGACAGGCGAAATAACTAAGCCATACAGACAATTTTTTTTTTTAAATATGGATTTGTTCCGTTATACACGGAAATTTTGCCAACATCCAGCCAAATGTTGGGTCTTTCACATTTGGTGTACAATACTTTTACTGTAGTGACAGCTTGTAGTTTTTGATTATAAGAATTGCAAAATAATCTATGTTTATGCAGCCATTGTCTGTAATAAAACTCTTCGATTTCGATTTTAATGTGGAAATAAGTAGACTTCAGTGTCATACTAATTAAAATAAACGTATAGTATGAGTTTTGGCCATTTCTCAACTTCTACATACGTACTTCCTTTTATTTTGGTTTCGTTATTCTTTCATTCAGGCATTATTTTTACTTGTTCGAATCAGTGGATCCAGAGGCTGCGTAAGGCGTGATGAGTATGAGTCTGTTGGTCACCATATGCGGCCCTCTCGGTGTTTTTTAATTACCTCTTTGTTCCGTAGTATTTTTCCTCAGTGGTCCATCTAGGAAACTCTGCTGATTTACTGTTCTCAATTCTCTCTGTAACTGGTAATTTAATTATATTCTTCTTAATTCTTTTTGATTGATTGTGAGAGATTCTCAATTTGCCAGATTTTGTAACTGGCATACATAGTTTAAAATTGCGAATGTCTATAAAAAAGTAAAAATAAATAATTTCTCGTAAAAATTGACAATTAAGTGACAGATATTTACCTCGATAAAAAAGCTATACAAAATACAAAAATATTATCAAAATGCCTGCAATTGGTATAGATTTGGGTACAACATACTCTTGCGTAGGCGTTTGGCAACACGGAAATGTGGAGATTATTGCTAATGAAATGGGCAACCGTACAACCCCATCATATGTTGCTTTCACGGACACCGAACGTCTTATTGGAGACGCTGCGAAGAACCAAGTTGCTCTAAATCCTAGCAACACAATATTTGATGCCAAACGTCTCATTGGACGTAAGTTCGATGATCCTAAAATATAGCAAGATCTGAAACACTGGCCATTTAAGGTGGTAAGCGACGGAGGGAAACCAAAAATTCAAGTTGAATATAAAGGTAAATTGAAGCGTTTTGCTCCTGAAGAGATAAGCAGTATGGTGTTGTCGAAAATGAAGGAGATAGCTGAAGTGTATTTGGGGACCAACATAAAAGATGCCGTGGTAACTGTGCCAGCCTATTTTAATGACTCTCAAAGACAAGCTACGAAAGATGCAGGATCTATTGCTGGATTAAACGTTCTTCGTATTATCAACGAACCTACAGCCGCTGCTCTTGCTTACGGACTTGATAAAAATTTGAAAGGAGAAAGAAATGTTTTAATTTTTGATCTCGGTGGAGGTACTTTTGATGTGTCTATCCTTACAATAGATGAAGGATCACTCTTTGAAGTTAAAGCTACTGCCGGTGATACCCATCTAGGAGGAGAAGACTTTGACAATAGACTTGTAAATTTCCTTGCTGATGAATTTAAAAGAAAGCACAGGAAGGATCTTAGAACGAATCCAAAGGCCGTTCGTCGTTTGCGAACTGCAGCAGAGCGAGCAAAACGAACTTTATCGTCTAGTACTGAAGCCAGTATTGAAATAGATGCTTTATATGAGGGAATAGACTTTTTCTCGCGTATCTCCCGGGCTCGTTTTGAAGAACTCAATTCTGATTTGTTTCGTATAACTTTAGAACCGGTGGAAAAAGCATTGAAAGATGCGAAGATGGATAAAAATTCAATTCACGATATAGTTTTAGTAGGCGGATCTACTCGTATACCTAAAATCCAAAGTTTACTTCAAAACTTTTTTAACGGAAAGAAGCTAAACTTGACTATAAACCCCGATGAAGCCGTCGCTTACGGAGCTGCTGTGCAAGCTGCCATCTTGGGTGGCGAGCGCCACTCAAAAATACAAGATGTCTTGCTTGTTGACGTGACACCTTTGTCACTCGGTATCGAGACAGCTGGAGGAGTAATGGCTAAGATTGTCGAACGTAACGCCAAAATACCCTGCAAACACTCTCAAACCTTCACGACTTATTCTGACAACCAGTCCGCTGTCACCATTCAAGTGTATGAAGGCGAGAGGGTTATGACGAAAGACAATAATTTACTAGGAACGTTTGATTTGACTGGTATCCCGCCAGCACCAAGAGGTGTACCACAGATCGATGTGGCGTTTGATATGGACGCAAACGGTATTCTGAACGTATCAGCTAAAGAAAACAGCACAGGAAAGAGTAAGAATATAGTGATAAAGAATGATAAAGGCAGACTTTCGCAAGCAGAAATAGATAGGATGTTGTCTGAAGCTGAGAAATATAAAGATGAAGACGATCGTCAAAGAGATCGCGTGGCGTCTCGTAACAAACTGGAAACATACTTGTATGGAGCTAAACAAGCGATCGACGAAGCTGGTAGCAAGCTCGGGGAGGGGGAGTGTTCGAAAGCTCGCCGAAAGTGTGATGAGGTTTTAAAATGGTTAGATGCAAATTCTTTGGCTGAAAAGGAGGAATATGAAGACAAGTATAAGGAAGTGAATAGAGTTTGTGCACCCTTAATGAAGAAGTTGCATGTTGGGGGTGGTAGCCGCCAGGGAGGCGCCACCGGCGGAGGCAGCGATGGTCCCGTTATTGAAGAAGTGGATTGAAGCCTTTTAATTTGTTTTTTATTTTATTTTGAGATGGTCAGTAATATGTTATTTTCTTGTCTATTTATTCCATTCAGCAAACGTAACATGGCAAACTCGTAAACGTTTTGTCTACACCCATTTGTCACTTTCTCGATTGCGCTCAAACGATATCTCTCTCTCGATCAGGGAAAAATGATGTTTGGTGAAGACAAAGCGATCCTCGATTTTGTCATGCTACGCGTGCAGCTTCCTGTTTACGTGTGACGTCACACGTCAGTAAACAGAATCTGTTATTGGTTGCGACGAAAATAAATTAATTAAATTCCTAAAAATGTTGCATTTTCTTTACCTTATTTTACTAAAGCTAAACATATTTTGCCTGCCGATTCTAGGAAGTAAGCTTTATTAGATTATTATCTAACAGGATGACTACAACACGCAACTTATTTTTAATAGTGTTTTTTTAATAAGGCAAAGAGTTATTTTATTTAAAGTATTAAAATGTTTTTACATGGGAATCGAAGTAGTGTATAACGTAAAGCCTCATATAAGCCACAAATTGTAATAATAATCCAATAATAGTGTGGAGTGAAAATTTCTTACAAATTACCGCTTCCTATATTTGGGTTAAGGATAGGTAAATAAAAAGAAATATGTTTGATTAGCAATTTCTTTATTTTTAATTTAATAACTTTAGAAATTGTTCGGAAAGAAGACAATGTTTCAGCATCGTTATTATTATGATATGAACAATAATAATTACCACTATAATATTTAATACTATTCATTACAATATGGAGATAATAACGTATCATAATCGTTCTATGTCTCTACATATACTTATATACAGGGAGCGTCTACTGCAGTCAGTCTGCAATGTTCAACGTAACAATCAAATACATTAGCGCGCCTCCAATACTTTGAGATTAAATTTTTGCACTGGAAGAAAAACAGGAAGATAATGTTTGATTGGAGTTAGATTATTCTTGTGGTGTTTTAACAGGATATTAAATGTAAATTATAATTGAATATGCAGTTACTTCAAATAAAATTATTAAATTTGAATGGTGATGTGATGGTTTTGTTCTATTAAACTTAGATGGGCTTTGAAAATTATTGTTTTCTTATTTCTCTACAACATAAACTTTGTTGTTTGTCAAAAAATATAATTCATAAAATAATCGATTGATAAAAACACTGACCAACTTTCAAAATGTTATAACAGTTCAGTTTGTCAAAATATTTGAGGCACAAATCCCAGATAACAATAAGTATATTATTCGTTTAATTATTCAATAAAACGTTCAAAAATTAAGATTTTAGGTGTCGTCAAACCAATTTAAACAATATGAAGAAAATTAAATTTTATTTAAAAACTTCTGTTAAACAGCCTAAATATTTCACTTTAATATTGACTATTACATGCTATTCTTAATACCTAACTTAATTTTTTATATAAACATCGATATGTATGAAGTTTGGTATTTCTAAAACTGCTTATAGAAAGGAATATGTCCCCGTGATTTTATATTTAAAAATTTTCAAACGGCAAATTATTTTTTTTCGTAACACCCCTTGACCTAAAACTATTATTTTGAGATAATTTTTTCCTCGGATACATTTTAGAATGATAATAATTTTGATTATCCATGAATTATTTTACCCCTTTCGTTTTTTTTGTCTGGGGTTTTTACCTTTTTAGGTAACCGTGACGTAGGTACCTAATGTGGTAATACTTATTTATTTACACTAGTAACTGGAGTTATTTATATACATTTTGATGCAAGGAGTACGGTTCCTTTATAATGTACAATTTTATAATTTATCCTCTAAGGGGAAAGGAAAAGGACGACTAAAATAAAAGAAAATAAAAAAAACAAAAATCAGATTAAAAGCAAATTTATTGCTAAAATAAAATAGAACTATAACCACAAGCAATACGTTATTTGCTTAACGTAGATGAGTTTGTCTGTCTCTAAAATTTGTACGTTCTCTAAAAATATATAAAACAAAATAAAATAAAAACAACAGGAAATACGAGTTATGGAATTCGTAGTTACAGGGAAATGAGAAATTATAAAATCAGCTAATCGAGAAATCACAAACTTGAGCGGTCCCACGTCGGTTAAATATAAAACTATATAGAAAACATACAATAGTATAAAATAAACATTCATAATTTAAAGTAAAACTCGTAACCCGATCATAATAATATTTAAAACCTCACCGGTTCATATAAACATAATAATACTTTTCAACTCGGGTCAGTATAGTTCATAGCTTAAATTTACATCTGATTGCACTTTAAAATTTCATTAACAACTAAACGAACTTCCCTAGCTCTAACTATCGGCAACGAATATCTTACACGTCCACAGTCGTATGTACACGCGGCCGCTCCGCCCGCACTCCATATTTGGTATATCTATTTACAACAATCGAAGTCGGAGGAGGCCCCGGCTCGACCGAGGCGCTCGTTCCGCGTTCAATAATTAAAGCGAAATGCAATTTCGAGAGCGTCCGTCGGGCGCACGTCACGAACCTAATCTATGTACAGAGTCTTCGGCCTCACGATGAATCGCAACGAAACACTAACCGCTCGGGCCTAGTACTCCCACCGGTCGTCGTCGGCCTCGGTCTTGATCTTGTCGTCGGGCAGCGGCGCGGGGGAGGGCGCGGGGGAGGGGCAGGGCGAGGGCGCGGCGGAGGGGGGCGCGCGCGGCTCGTCGGCCGCCGGCTCCACGCGCACGGTCTCGGCCGCCTCGCGCCGGAAGTCGGCGCCGCGCATCACGCACACGCCGTTGATGATGACCTCGTCCGGGTTGCGCGGCTTCTCGTCCTGCCAGTCGGGGTTGACCCACTGCGGCGCGGCCGGCTTGCGGCGGCTCGACCGGCCCGCGCCCGCGGGCGTGGACGCCGCCTTGGGCTCCGCCTTGGACGAGCCGTCGTCGAGCGAGTCCTCCGAGCCGAGGTTGCTCTCGACGTCGTCGTCGTCGAACTCGTCCGCGTCGGGCTCCCGCTTGAGCGGCATCGACAGGTCGAGGCCGCCGCTCTGGTCCTTCGCGCGGTCGTCGGGCGGCACGAGGCCGCGGCCGATGAGGGCGGCGAGGCTCGAGTCGGCGGCGAAGTAGGGCGGGTAGGGCAGCGGCACGCCCGCGAGCCCCATCCGCTCCTTCTGCAGCTCGAGCAGCCTCTGGTTGAGCAGCAGCCGGAACTGCACGGGGTCGAAGGGCGCGGCGGCCTGCTCCCGGGCGGGCGGCTCCGCCGGCAGCCCGTGAGGTGCCTGCTGTTTTAACCTCATGCGGTGGTTGTGGAACCAGTTCGTTATCGTCCTCGTCGAGAGTCCCAGCTCCGCCGCCAGGAATTCTATCGTCGGCATGTTCGGGTAAGGGTCGAGCGCGAAAGCGAGGCGCAGCGCCTCCTTTTGCTCCTCGGAGAAGAGGACCCGCTGCTTCTTCGCGGACGGGGCGCCCGAGGTGGGGCCCGGCGAGCTGGAGTGGTAGAACTCGGAAGTGTCGTTCGAGGACGTGTCGGAGGAGTTGTCCTGCCCGGGGCCGCTCGAGCGCCGCCGTTTGTTCGCCTCGCGTCTCTCGTTCTTCAATGCCTGGAGACGATCGATATTATGGGCGTCGCTCAGCCACAGTTGCATTCTTATGAAAGGTTCCCGGCCTTTGATGCTCAGCATGTGCCAAGGCTTCGGTTTCGATAATAATTCGCTGACGGATCCTTGCGACAAGCCTAAAACGGCTTCGCCGAAGATCTTCTGGCCGATGTTGTTGGCGAGCAGCGCCTCTTTGATTTTGGTCGTGATCGTTTGCGTGTCGAGATCCTGCGTGAGAGCGGCCATTTCGTAGACGCTGGGGGAGATGTGCTGGTGGAGGTTGCGCATGACGGGCTGGTGGTGGGGGTGGGGCTGCGGCGGCGGCGGCTTGCGCTCCTTGTTGTTGTTGTCGTGGTGCGGGGGGAGGGCGACGGCGTGGTGCGGGGGGAAGCCGGGCGGCGTCAGCAGCAGCGGCGGCTGCAGGTGCTGCAGGTGGCCGCCGAGGAGCTGCTCCTGCTGCATTTTGCTCAGTAGTGATGTCGCGTCGGAGAGCATCTTCTGCGTCGGCGGCATCGGCTTGTTCATGTTAGGCGGACATGCTGCAAAATAACGAAACAAAAAGTTAGTGGCTTGTTCACAATAATAGTCTGTCTGTTACGGTTATAACATTATACGTACAAATTGATTTTCAATAATAAAGAATAAATGTGACGACATCATTTCATTTAATAATTTTAATGTTCGTTTTGTATAAGTAGACCTCGTGTGTTATGGAGTTGTTGACTACGAAATAAAGAGAGTAAAGTTTAAAATTAATAAGTAAGGTTTATCAAAAATTACTATTCAATATCCGATTTTTTGCTGCAATTATGAGCTTCTACAATTAAATCTTAAGATAAACATAGAAACGAGATACTCACGAGGTGCTCCGCTGTAATTTCCTGTTCTCATAAGTTTTTCCGGCGCGATTTTGTACTGCGACGCCACCAGCTTGTGTACAGCGTTCTCATCCTCTAGGAACATCTTCATTCGAATGAAAGGTTCTCTGCCTTTTTGCGTCAACATGTGCCATGGCTTTGGCCTCGCCAGTAGGTCACTCACTGAACCTTGCGACAGACCGAGCACCGACTCTCCAAATAATCTTTGACTGATCGAGTATTGACTGAGAGCCTCCTTTACTCTTCTGACGATATCTTCGGTATTTAAATTATTGAATAGATCGAACTGCTGCTGTGTAATCGGCGGTAAAACAGCCTTCATAGATCTCTGAGGTGGCGGGTGATGTGGAGGATTGGACGGCTGGGAAATAAGGCTATTCGTTATCGAAGCCATCCTTTGTAACGGACTCGCAGCCGCAGAACTGCTAAAGTCATCGTTGGGCGTTATCGCAGGCGGAAGGATCGCATTCCCCAATGGGCTGGACGCGGAAGACCCTGTCGACTGTTGTCCAGGTTCTAACTTAGGTCTGACTAATGAAAAAGCGCTACCCGCATGCCTAATAGCCTCTTCGGCATCCATCGACCTATCCTTATCACTATCAGTCATTCCATTCATTTTGGCATTTTTATCTTTAGGTAATGAGAGATCTTGGACCGCGCCGGAACCGTTCATATGTTGGTTCTGCGCTTGTTGCATGGCTTGTTGCTGGAGGGCAAGTAGATTTGGGAACGGGGGCACCCCTTGCATGTTGTGAAGGTTTGGTATGTTCGCCCCCGGTTGTAGTTTGGCCAGCTCCCTGTGGTACGCCTCCAGCGCCATGCGTATGTCTTCTGGAGGCCGCTCCATGTGTGGTGGCATTCCGCCGCTGAAAAACGGAGGAAACACACTGGATTTTAGTTTTAGATTTGCTGTTCTCGTTCATATTATAATAAGTAAAAATGTATTGTTGTGTTGTGTTCTTTGACATTAGAAGAGATGCATAATTATCATAAAACTATATCTTAAACACAAATATGCCAGTAAGCTGGTGAGAAGTATGACGCGCTGCTAATATAAAGTACCAAATTTGGGTGTGTGTGATATGAAATCTATAAGTTAGCTTATATGTATTCAAGGTGAGGTAATCTTACGTGACACTAACCGTATCTACAGAAATACGTATACTGTAATTTATAATTCATTTTATACAAAAAAATCGTCAATAATACAATTACTATTTTCTTATTGTGGTAACGGTTAATTTTAAAATGGTAAGCTACTCACGTCGGAAACCCGTCGCGACTGTGGCGCATGTCCTCGACTCGTCTGGTCATGATTTTCGCGAGTTCCTCTTGATATATACGAACGACTTTTTCCTGGGGAATGTCATCGTTTTCATATTTCTTTAATCTTCTATTTTGACTCGAATCCTGTGAAAATACAAAGTTCATCATGTTATACAACCTTATTGACTTTATTATAATTTACAGCATTGGGGGTAATATTAAAAGTTAATCAGATTTATGAATACGGAGGAAGCGAAAGAGCTAGGATCCGGGGTAAAGATATTCTAGAAAGTTCATATATTTTTATTATAGGTTACCTTATTAGAAGACGGTGAAGGGCACTGAGTACGTGGTGAGCTGGAGTCTTCGTTACTCCTGGAGTCATCGTTATTCGTTTGTCCCGTGGGAGTCTTCATGAAATGTGAAGCCTCATTTAGGATATGAACTAGTCTCTCTTCTCCCTCTCCATCGGGTCTTCCGAACCCTGTCGTCGACCCATCCTTTGTTCCAACTGTTAAAAAAGATAATATTTGCTATAAATATAGGTTTATGTTTTAGTTTATGTATAATTTGTTTAGGTTTCGGTTAATTTGGAAAGACCATCATAACAGTATTTGTATACATTGATCAAAAGAAAGTGCAGCAGGGATGTTTTGTCATCGTCACCCGTCTCGTTTAATATCATCATGGATTCTAATTAACTCAACAATGCTTTGAACTCGTTCAATAAGGGCCATCTTAGCGTAGCAATTTTCAGCTCGTTACTGTCATTTCATAACAATATTTGAACTCGTACTCGAGTTTTAATTGCAGCTAAATTGTCTCACGTATACTCGTATGTGTAAGTATGCATAGTTGCGCTGAATCGCGCGCGCGGCACTTAAACTCTTGCCAAGTAATAAATACGGGTGTTATATTTGGGACAATTGAAATTAGGCGAGTCATTAAAACGCTACTGCAATGAATAGTGCTTTAAAGATAATCACTGAATGGGAACGGGCACTCATCGCCTAAGCCAGTAATCCTAAAACGGCGCGCGCGCACCCATAAACAAGAGAAGTTACGCGCGAAAACCGCCCGCCATATTGTGGTCATTCATCCTGTCAACATATTGTCTTTGGTCTCACAATGAAACGACTCTGTTTAGATGCTGATATATGCACGGCATTAGTTTAATTAGACGCATAATTAGTTAACCAGCTTGCCGGGATATGTTTGGAATTAACGGCTATATAGCATTTTGAATGTATGTTTATTCGTTTTATTACTTATGAAACGATAATTTTATAATAGCTCTCACTATTAAAATAATTATTTTATTTAAATAGAGAGAGGTAAGTAATTTGATTTTCATTAATTTTAAACCAACATTTAGATATCGTCCTCATTATGTCACCATATTTTTCGAAGAAGACGATCACAAACTTGTCGTAAACGTTTTTGTTCATTACTTTTATTAATAAATTATAACACAAGACAGATTTTATTACGTTGGCATGTAAACTAGGTTGTGGAATGATTTGGAAAATATCAGTCCTGGAATCTATCGCAGCGACTTTGATCATGTAAAAACTAACAATATTCAATGTTCAACAAAGATATAAGATTAGTCTTTTACCAACTTTAAAAGTATAAAAACGCTCGAAGGAAAATTATATTCTGAACGTCAGCTCCAGAAGAGAGTACCTAGGTCAGTTTTTATTCTGCTAAACGTTTCCTCAAAATTCGAAGTTCATATTCACAATCTCGCAAACAGAAGTTAGTAATAAATTAAAAGCACCGACAAAGCGTTCACCGCATCTTCAATCTTTATTTTAAACCGTCACAGTGCATGTTTGTTTGGCAATATACTGATACTCCTCGATCTGTTGTTTATTTTAGATATTCGGCGATGCGAGCCAACTTAAGCCTTGATTAATTGATAATAAAAAATATAATGCGATGCCATAAAGCTTGTTTTCCGAAAATGCATCAGCTTTTATCGGTATGTAAAGTGGATTTTATTTATTCATAATTAAATCGGGATTTAGGGTGTCACGCGTATATTTCTGTGCAAGACGTCTGCGGTAACAATCGCGCAACCTACATAGATAATAATAGCAAGACAACTTTACAAAACGCATCTATAATGTCTACAGGAAGATCTGCAAAGATTTATGACGCGGTTCTTATAATTGTCTATAGAGCAGTGAATTTTCCATTCAAATTCGAAATCATCTGTTGCCCGCTACATTTGCCAATTTTCATTGCGTACCATAAATTGGTTTCGAATGGACTTTTCATTGGACTACAATCATTGTGCAATGTCTCATTGTAGGTTCGTTCTCACGTTCCGATTCAATGCTAACGTTATTACAATATTACTTTATATCCTTAAATAGACACACGGTTTATGTAGTTATTTTTTGTGAAACTGCTGTTCAAAAACTGACTTAAGTATGTATGACTAATATACGTGATACAAATTTAACAAAATGGCCGTCGAACCGTTTTGATTGTATCTCGGCATGACCATAATGTTTAGTTTGAGCCTGTAATAATGTTAGACGATAATTCTATATACGTGATTTGGTGTAATAATGACTCTGTTTGCTTTTAAATGTCCGGTTAAGTGGCATTTGTTTCTGTAATCTCTGTCCAAGATTGTCGGGTAATTATGGAAACTTTCTTAAGGAGCATAACGTGTTTAAACTACTCTTTTGGTCCGGAATTGAGTTTTTACATGATTTTCATAAATGTCTTAGTACGTTGCGCAACAAAATACCGAGTAAAAGTTGCATCTGTTTTCTTGAGTAGTATCAAAGTTAATTCTTTATACATTTAAGAAAAGATTACGATTTGCTTATATTACTTATCCAATAGTTTAGGTTAGGTACTCATTAAGCATACAAAATTACCTAGGGACCATTTATAAATGAATTTCGACAAGTATCAGAAATCTGTGTGGAAAAAAACACCCGTTATGTCAATGATAACTGATCAAAAATTAAAATTTGAGTCAGGTGCCATTCGGATGCGACGGCGATAACCAATTATTTTGTATGTATTTGAAATTCATTCTTTAACAACACGAGACGTCGATAAATTTCAACACACGTCTATTAATGCCTTTGATCTTCTCGCAGATGTTTAGATATTCAATGTGCAGTACGTTCACAATTACCAATACGTGCCCCGAGAGTTTTGTCAAAAAACTTTGACTCAGACAACCTTGTTGCAACAACCGCCATTTTGTGTGAACTTCATAGTACGCAATATGGTGGGTTTTGCGCGGGAAGTTACATTTTTTTCGGTTTGACAAGTTGTGTGTTTGTTATTCAATGCATTTCAGTTTGTTTACGCGTCTAGTTTTCTTGCCAATCATTACAATGTGCATTTTGATAGATTCCAGACTTTTGAAGTAACAAAGTGTAAGATTGTTAATTAATATCACCCAGTCACGGAATTATATTTATCGTTCATAGTTTGATTGTAACTGACCGGGACGACGGACAACGGGTGAACTTGTGAATTCAAGCTGACCATAATTCAAGGATAATATAAAAACAGTGGAATTATATGTTTATGCGACACCGTATCGCGTGCGTGCACGCGAAAACTATTTCTTTGTGGCCGTTATTGATTGCTATTGCCATATGAATATTCAGAAGCTTTGGAAAGTAAAGGGGTGGTGCCCTAAATTATCGTGTCACTGTGACACACTGAAAAAAATATTTCGCCATATAATTAGGTCCGTTTGATTCGGGCAATGTATCACGGCCCGTAACTCAAGGTGGCGGGTAGTCAAAGAAAGGGGTGAGAATCGGGCGCACGTACGTCACCGGACAGATCGATGCTCATTTGCATGCGGAGTCGTCGGCGGCGACGGACGTCAGGGCCGCTCGAAAGTGTTGCGGGCCGCGGAAAAAATGGCGCATTTGAATTGTTAATATGGTGCAAAAGAAATAGTTGCATAAGCCGGCATCGTAATTTAGAACTAGGTGTCAACGTGTTGATGTAATGGAGCGTATAAACGGAACGATTTGACATTTTAACTGTTTAGAGGTAATCTAGATAAAGTAGAATTAGAATATTGGTCTTATGTATAGTCGGTATTGTTAATGGTTTATTGCTGAGTATAAAGTTAGTATTAGTTAGAAGTCTGTAGGTAGTGTGTTTGCGCGCGACGTTGCGCGTCGCGTGCGTAGGGTCTGGTGATCGGGATCGCGTGTTAGATGGCAATCTGCCGGGGGCACCGACCACAATTGATTCCACACCAGAGAGGAAGTCGAGTGACACGGCGCAAGCTACTAGACTACGAATACAACAAATTTTAATCACAAAATTTAAAACTGGATCCGACAGGTCTAGTCGCTATTTTAAATTTCGAATAGTTTGTTTGTTTCTTTGTATAAATAATTAATATTTGTCATAGATAAAATCCTCGAGCTGTATTCCAGAAATAAAGCTTCTTGGCTTTACCTATTATATTTACATTTTTTGAAAAAAGAAATCGTTTGTTTTTCGGCGTAGCCATACAATTAAAGAGGACCATGTAGGACAGAAACAGCAAGAGCATAGAAACTTTTGTCGGTGTGTCTGTTGTCATAATGAAAATGTATGACAATTTCGGTCCGGAGCGAAAGTGCGTGTTACGGAAACATTACAAGTTTAACAACATTATGCGTTTTTTTATAACAATAATAATAAAAAAATAGTTGCAGACCTGTTTTGAAAACCCGCTGCTTAAAAAATAAATGTCTACAATTGTGCGTTGAATTTGTCATTAACAGTTTTTTTTCTTAATAAAATAAATCTGACGACCAAAAAATCAATGCCGATTTTCCTTTTTGTTGCTTTAACTTACGTGTGTTGATTTCTAAATAACATTTCGAAACCCCAATGATGTATCTAGAGTTGATTTCGATTTTTTTCGGGGTATTTTACAATGTTGTCTTTCCCCATCCGCTGCGTAAAATCCCCGCGGCACAGGTAAAAACGTTAAGAGCACTCGTCGCGCGGACGACGCTAGTTCGTAACTAGATTCGATAATCAATTTTGTGAGCTCCGCAGAGGACCGCCATATCCGTAGTCATTCCCTCCTAGTGATGGTCATATATATGAAAAAAGAATTCTTACTTTTGTTTATGGTTAATTTTCTTATAGTTTGTTTTTTATTACGTCATATGCTTTTTAATTAGTTTAAATAAAGTACGAGGTTACTGACTTATTAGGTATTAACAATAGTTGATGGTTTGTAGCTAAGTTTTAGCAGTTAGAAGTTTGGACAGTGTGTTGGCACTCGACGTTGTCTTGCAATTTTCGAATATATTTTTTTTAATTACCTACAAAGAAAGAAGTGTTTATAAAAAAAAAATACCACAGATATTCGCAATTTAAGTGACATGACATAGATCGTGCAATAAAACATAGGTTATTGTGAAGTGGCCGAAAAGGGAGTGAAATAAAATAAAGGCACGCAGCATAGAGCTAGCTCATCACTATTAAAAGCCCTAGGTATCGGCCCACGGG